TTCTGCTATAGTGTAGATGTGCAGGCACTAGTCTATTTTGAGTTAGATTACTTGTGAAATCGATAATTGAAGAAAATAATTTCGATATGGGTTTCGGAGGTGCTATAATTTTACCGTTAGATGGCGCTACCAGTATAAAAACTTATTATTTACTTTGTGATTTGTTTTACAAAATGAAGACGTACCGTCAATTGAAATTAAATAAAATTAATTATTTAACGCAGCCAAAATGACTCGTGAGATCGATAATTTTAAACTTCGCTAATAAAATACTGACCTGCATTACCAAAAATGCGCTTTAATCATGCATATGCTGATTTACAACTTGTTTGAAATATTACCGCTATGTTTGGTTCGCGGTGTTCGCAAAAATTCGAGCTGAACTATATCTGATCCTGAATAGAAAATGCGCGAATCTATATGCTTAGTTTCCAGTCCTCCCTGTAAAACTTTAGTAAAAGTAGACAAGAATGCATTTCACACTCCACCAATTTCTAAATAGATTTGAATAATTAATCGTTCTGTAACATTTTATGGTTAAGGAGCGGAAAAAGTGTCTATTTAAATTCCCTAGTTTCCACAGTATTGATCAACGCAAACGTGGGCGCGAGAAAACCATTAAAATCCACCAACCACTGAGCACTTATCAGTTTCTAACAATAAGAAGTTGATTAATGTTAAGTGTGTTTAGGTGGCAATGAAACAAACAACAAAAAATAAGAATAATTACTTCGAATATTAGTAACACCGAAGAGCGCCCATCATAAACGTCCCACGTTACTCAACTCATAAAACCGGAAAACTCATCAAAAAGAAAAATAAGGAAATTACGCGACGAATTTAATATTTCTGAGATTCTTTACGAATTTACCGTTGGTTTTACATCGTGTTTTTGCATAAATGCTTTATTACGACCCGTCTTGCTTTGTAAGGCAGTTGTTGCCATGATTCAAAATGTTCGCCCGCTCTTTGAGTGATCAAAACCCTTAGGCAATTAATTTTGTAACTAATATCATATTTAACTATGCAATTTCTTTGGAATTATGATAAAGAAAAGGCAATATTAATTAACCTAATTAATTTTCTTCTCAAATACACCAGGTTCCAGTTTCTTCCTAACGAACGTCCCTGTTATTGTATCCTTAGGCTGCGCCAACAGAAAATATATTTTTCGGTTCAGCTTAAGGTGTCATTTTAACAAGAACCGTTTCGTACAACTCCCCTTTTTATTCCAATAATTTCATTTAGATATTGGAGAAAAATCCCCTGTCCCAATCAATTAGGTACTATTACAGCTTTCAAAGGAAAGTTTGGTTTGTTGTTATTTAGATAAACTGCTCATAAAGACTTTGTAACCATGTGGATCTGCTGATAGATAAAACGGTTAAAAAAATACTCCGAAATTGAACTTTAAGAATTATAGTATAACCTTCATATAACCTTATTTCTGCAATAGGGGCGCTTTACTTTTTATAGCAGTATTAAGGAACTGTCGCCGTTCCTCCTCTCCCCTTCGCATCCAGTTTCTCAACACAAGTTTTACCTAAACATTCAACCAAAATTTTTATAGATGTAACTTCTTCAGGGAGATGTGTATGTGTGTTACAATACATTTGGGCCGTTTGATAAATAATTCTGTTGAGGAAGTGATATTTAATTAACATAAATTAGAATATCAACACGATACTTACGATTATGATTTGATTCCTGCAAATGCGAATTACCACGTGACATACAAAGCGTAAACATGACGGACGCCGGAGCAATACTGAAACTTTGTTGGGGATGACGACCAGCGCCTCGACGTTTGTCGATTCATAGTCCTGCGTCGACGTCGTCTGTTGCCGCCACGACCAAAGGATTAAATGCACTTCCTAAATCTCATTACATTTTTCTGTTGCATTTTACTATGTATTGTACATGACTTTGACTGCATCACAATGCGATATAACAAGACCTGGGAGAATAAATGACGAAAATGTGAAAGCATTTTCCAAATTTCATTAGATTCACAGCCTTTTTAAAATCCGGAGTAATTTCTCACTTTAGTCATAGTTATACCATTCTGTGTCATTCAATGGAACCAATTGGAAGAAGCCTTTTTACGTACAGGAGGTATCACTCGACTCAATGCACATTGCACAAGGCTATATCTTAGTTTCACAAATTGATTATTACCGCAGTTAATAGGATAAAAATTGGACAATCGATGGCAACAATTTCTAGAGTTGGAAGTTTTTTACAACGCCTCCTTTACACTTGGGTAGCCATATATAAAAGTCTCAAAGACTGGTAGGCGAGTCCGATAGGGGCGGGTAACTGTAATCGCTCATATCGTTTATTTACCTCCCTACCGAAAATGAAGTTGATAATATTTCCTACAGAAACACCTAGTTCCATGCACGTTTGTCGTAAGACCTAAACAAGCTAAGGTATTTTACATAACGTTTTCATTATGGTTACTTCATTAAGCCGAACTCGAACTTTAAACTGAAATTTTTAATGACTCTTTACCTTGCGGAAGGTTGGTTCTTTATCCCCAATGAAAATTAAAACTTGACGTTTTGGTTTGATCACCCTCAAATAAATACTAATATAAATGGACTTGTTTCTTTACATTTTTTGTATATTGATCACGTATTGATATCGTGATCACGTTTCCAATCTAATTAATTGATTTGGTTCGTTTACGCACATACATTTGTTCCCGAGATAAACTCCCGTGGGTCGACCCCTTCAGGAATGTTAGAATAACTTTAAACATAAATTGTTTATACAAAATCGATTCCTATGGTTACACAAAATGCAAAAACCCAAAATAACATTATTGATAAACCAAAATGTTCTCCAATTTACAGTTGATTTTCTCCTTTGAAAGGAAAGCAGCAAATTGAAAAATGAGATGGTGGAACGCCTTGTACAATATAATCGGATCTTTTGTATGGTTAGGTAAAATTTGGTTAATCGTTGAAGGTAAATCTCGAAAGATTTATGACAATTTGACTCCGGAACAAATCGTGTTTCAAGTTTCTCGAACTACAATAATTGCAATTTTGTTCACTGGAATAATTTACCAATATTCTGCAGTATGGAAAATTCAAAAATTTACTCTTACAGGTTTTAACAGACAGTAAAAGCACGAATTAATTGTCTTTAGCCTTTTTACCGGTTGCCGTTTAATGTAAATCTCCCTATACACAAAAGAGGTGCACAGTTTTGACTGATAAACTTGTTTTTTTAACATAACTAGCCACTCCAAACATAGCGTAATGAACTTTTACACCTTGGACTCACGTGGCGATGGACAATTTATTTAAATGAGCGCACGTAAACGTTAACGTATTTATTTTCAATAACGTACAGGTAAAGGTGATATACTGTACTCTTTACTATCTGTTAATGGTACGTTAATATTATTAACTTAATAATATACACTAATGCGGATTTTGGAAATATACATCTAATCCAATCGTATTAAGAAGTAGGTGAGCGAATTCATTTTGAAGTGGTAACGGAAATTTGAAGCCTTGAAGTAAGTTACATGAAACCTTTTGCAATTCGGAAACTAATCTGAAAGGAGTTAGTACTACAGGATGCAACTGACCTTTTTGGGCAATTAAAACTGCATTAATTAGAGATATGGTTTCTAGTTGATAGTTTATAACTGCCTTTAAATCTAAATAATTTATTTATGAATTTTTATCATTAAAAGCTTTTTCAATTTTTTTCATGTTTGCGATTATAGGTAATATTTTTTCGTTGTGATTCAAATTTCCTGTGTTGCATTAAAATTTGAAATTCTCGATTTAATTACTACAGTTGGTTCTTTTATTAAGTTTGTTAATGAATTATTAACAATTTTGAAAGCACTATACCTTTTGGAAATCTTGACCTTCGCAAATACTGACTGTCTTTTCGTAATATAATTCAAGCTGTGCAAACCTTTATTATGATTACCTACTTCTATCTAAGTAGGTTATTCGTCGGGAATCTGGGAGTCTAAATTCGAACATGGTATATAAGATATACATTTTGAAAAATACGTATCTTGTGCAGAATTAGATGCCGATTCTGAATCAAGAGGGCGCGATGGTCACTGGGATTGCAAATAGCCAGAAAAAACAATTGGTACAAAATTTCGCACTTCACAAAAAAATAGAGTTTTTATGTTTACATTACCTTTCCGAAAAAAAATAAAGGATGAATAAGATAATGTTAATAAATTATGGAAACGGGCTCCCACAGCTTTCTAAGCAATATCAGTGGTTAACCGTAAACAATTTTGTTTGGGAAATATTATGAACACCCAACAAATGATGAAAAATATCCTACGAACACCGGAAAACAGTTACACGGAAAAATCGTAATTTTTCGTATTTAGAGGTTAGCTTTTTATTAGTTTTGAAACGATCAGATCAGAGCGCATATCCACAGGAATTCCCAATCAATTAAAGAAAATAACTAAAATAGATAATGCATTTATTACATAAAAGCACAGATTTAAACACTCTGTGATAAAAGTAATGCCACCCCCACATCGGCCACATCTATTCAATACATTCGTGTAGTAAAAGATTCAGACGGTATTTATTTGATAAACTGTACTATGGCTTTATCTCCTTCACAGTACTGTCATATTTCAACGTCAACGACTTACTACTATTAGCCCAATTATTTTTATTGCTGTTAAAGTGCACTAACATTTATGACCTACAAATGTACGTGAGTGACATATCAAATTCTGATCGACGTAAAGTGCTCTCGTCCCAGATATCATTGTAGAGAACAGGGAAAATGCATCACGCTCTCGTGTGAATTGTTTTTAAATTCAAATCCTTTTCGAATTAATTAAAATTCAAATTACGGGAACAAAAGTCGATATACTCAAACAGGAGGAAGGCCGTAGAGGGCGGTAATTTACAATCTTCCCTTCGAATCCCTACGGATATCTGTACGTTTCCCAATGCATTGAGTCATAGGTGGCGGTGAGAGGCGTCCATGGAAAATTGCAATTATTTATTTAAAATGGCACTTAAGCTCTGTTTAAAAGCCCTTTAACAATACTAAATCAGTTTAGTGTGCGCGATATTCACTTGACATTCAGCTCAATAATGGCTCGGAGGAATGTATTTTTAAGTGCGCTATTAATGCTGTTAATGGTATAATCTCTGCGGATTATTGCATAAAATTCACAATGTGTTTTAGATCAATTCATCAAGGGCGGATGAGGAGTGTCAGGAGAAATTAAGCAACGCTAATAATTTAATGATTGAACTTCTGAAGGCATCACCGCCTTCTTCGGAAAATAAAGCGGAGCACGAAGCGATTATGGGCTGTCTATTTAAAAATAGAGGAATTTTGGATCAGAATGGGGAACTGATCGAGGACAATTTCTTACATGCCATTATAAAGGAGCTGCGCCAGAAGTACCCGGCGGAAGTTGCCGAAAAAAGAGCAGGCGAAGCCTTGGAGTACTGCAGGAAGGCGAAGGGAGCCTCTGTTGGTCAAACGAGCCTAGAGGTCATTAAGTGCTTGGGAATTTGGAAAAATCAAGCGTTTATCGAAAAAGAGGCTGTAAAGGAGTGACTGAAGTGGCTGTTTTTCTGTTCGTCGGTAATGACAATAAAACATAAATGAATTATGGAAAACTTTTTGGATGATCATTAAACTATTCCCACTGGCGTAAAATTATTTCATTCAATTCCCTGATGTATATAATAAGCAAAATGCAGGTAATTTAAGTTGATTAAGTTGATAACATTTACAATTATTAGGTTAACACTTAATAACTTTCCTATATCACCACGCAATTGTTCACTTTACGAGCATTTCGAGATATTCCGCTATGATCGTTGGATCAGGTTTCTTTTTTATAGATTTATTTTTTTTAGAACGGCGAAGAATTGTTATTTGCTTCATAAGAGGAAATAGTGAAGTACGAGGCCCCTCTGGGGCCAAGTACTTTAATTTCCGAGTCAAGTAATTTCATTTTACTGACGAGTGTTGTATTAAATTTTACCCAAAATCGTATTTTAATATAAAATTTCCTCGAAAATTTCTATTTTCGTATGGAACTTTTGATTAATGCCAATGACAGGAGTCATTATAGACATTTAGCAATGGCGGCAGGAAACGTAGTCTGGTCTGCCTCTGTCATGGAAACTAAACTTTCCTAACATAAAGTAGGCATGAAAATTATGGTTTCCGAACGATTTTGGGTACACATAATTACCATGGTCTTGAAAGCCTTAGATTTATCAAACTTGTCTGGGGTATGATGTGTATAGCCGATTGGGAAGGTTATCTAACAATTATACCTTGATAAGCAAGATTTTTCGCTAGAGTAATGATTCCAGATGAACTGAGAGCATTGTGCGAACACCGATAGTGTGAAAGTACAATACAAAAAAAATCATAAGACGTTGGAAAAGTTTCCAAAAAGAAAGTATTCTATGATTTTAAGAAGGTCCAAAAGAAGTATAATTTATAAAAGATCCCGCATAGACAAGTTATCTGTAATCTGAAAGCATTGACAATAAGAGAAATATGCGGAAGTACGCATTTTGTCGTACAGGAACTATATGGTGTTCTTTTGTTGTCGGATCAATAGCAATATCCAGTAGCAAGTAGTTTCAGGTATCTATAATAGCCACTTGAGTATGAGGACCAAGTACGAAACGCTCTGTGCATACAACAACCATGAAGTCTTCGACTTTCGATCGTTCTGCGCAGATGAGTAATGAGTAACGAACAGAAATTTTACACAAAGAAGCTTGGCAAGAAAGTTAGCGTCGGTTAACTGGATTGCGATGGCGTCACGCGGTCCCCTGTTTTCTCAAAGTTTATTTTGTTGCTTTGTTTGAAAATCTGAATCATGTTTGTTTGTTATACTTTACAGGTGAATATGCCTTTATATTGATTTATTAAGTTTATTATCTGGTGTGTTTCCCCATATGACTCGTTGAACTCTAAGAAGTAGGTACCTTATACCGTTTTATTATTCGCTGTATATGTTACTTCCTCAATCTCGTGCAGACCGCAGATCTTGCGTCTTACCAAGACGAGAAGGTGGTCCTCTAATTAAGGTTCATCCTATTACTTAATGTGGTTTTGCTTGTAAAATAATAGACTTTAACATGAATACTTACTACTGGCCCTCTCACATGTACTTTTCGTGTTAAATCATGGTAGCCGAGGCTTACGTCATTTTGCTGTTTTGTATATACATGCAATTTATCATTTTGTCTGTCTGTCTGTCTGTCTGTCTGTCTGTCTGTACAATAAATTTTTATGTTAAGATGCCATTCCGATCTTGGCAGTTGCGACTCAATATTAAGCTATTCGAACAAGGTATATTTTTTTACCAATTTTTTTTCACGACTCTCTTGCTGACCTTTTCCCCTTCGGTTTGCTATTTTTTTCCATCTTCGCACCATTCTGTTTATGTGTTCGTTACATTCTATATATGCATTAAAATCACACAAACGAATTTTTTGAACTTTTATTCTTCGTGGTGGTGAAATCGGCATGTTCACGCTTTCGACGTACTCGTGAAACTAACAATTTCAATTTGTCTTCTCTAATGCAGCATTGCTGCGCTGCAGGCCGTGATTGATAAATTATAGACAAAACTCGGTGAGAATTGCTCTTACATGTTGCCACACAAATTAACGACGGCCGCAGCCGATCGTAGATCCTCAAACGCGTATAGACGACAGACTCAGCGAAAGGGCTCTGTATTGATTGTTTCGTGGGAGGGGTCCAGTGAAATACCCACGTTTCCTCGCCTGTGACAATCCGCGACAAATACCTGCTTTCGCTAAGGCATCCAATACCAATTGCTTCTGGCAAATTTTTTCGCTCAACAGCTTCTGCTCTGGCTCCATCGGACAGACACTTTTTTCATACCCAAATCTTCCTGTAAAAACTTGAATATTGTACTTTCAGATACTCCCGCTTCTTTTTTAAGCTCTAGAATTTTCACTCTTCGATCATACAGGAATAAATCTTTAGCAAGTCTTATGGTTTCCTCAGTTCTTGCCTCAACCGACCTTCCTGATCTTGGGTCACCCTCAATCTTCGCTCAATTCCATTGAAATTGTTTCGCCCAATGTTTCACTTGAAAATAAATTAGTAATTACGTATCTGTGGTATTTAAAAGGTGATTGAACATGCATTTAGTTAATACAGGGATTTGTTTCGTCTAAATAGAACACGTGCTTTCTTTACCCACATTCAAGTAAGCAATAATTCACATAGAAACCCCAATAAAGGTGTCAAACGTAAAGCGGACTTAGGGTACGCTAAACCAACCGTTCCGAGCACGACGATTGAAGGCGCCGATATTAATTAATATTTTGACAATGATATCCTGAAGGGGAATTTTGGTGGCTATGTCTGCGGAATGTGAATTTTCGGCGTAAAAACTCCTGGTCAGCATACGAGTGCATGCGGGTCATCCGATGGGTGTAAGTGCTCCTTACCTCATGGGAGGAAGGCTCCTATCACATCGGAGGATACGTATTTGGTCCTGTAGAGGTGACTATAATAGACTTTTTTTGTGCCGACTGGGCGCCTAGACACGTTAGAGGACATCTCTTTATCTCACCTGGAGATACGTTTCGGATGGGCCAACGTAAGACTGACGTGCGGGCTCTCTGATCGGTGTAGGTGCTCCGTACCTCAAGATGCGTCGAACTCTCAGATCGGTGTAAGTACTCTGTGCCTGGGCCGTGCGGGTCTACCGCGTTGGAAGACTCCTCTATACCAAAGATGAAGTTAGAATCGGATGCGTCATCGCACGGAAGAATACGTGGTCTTGCACGTAGATATACAGTGTATCTGTATGGAAAAGAGCCCTGGGCAACTTTTATTATGCATGAGGGTTACGTATTCCGGGTCCCTACGGGCCCGCTTGTTATAAGACCCCCTTTAGAGGAGTTACGTTTTCGACGTAAGAGCTCCAGGACAAAGTGAGCACATGTATAAGCCGGCTGACGTGATAAGAGTCTTGCAGACTCTCGTTTAGTTCTCCGTATGGGGGGATATGGTGCCGGGTGGCATATGGGGACTTGGACGTGGAAAGATTCTCTGCTCTCGTTAACCCAGCTACTAACTGTAGCACGTTTGAGTGTTGATGAGTAACATGATTAGAGTAGCTGTAGTTGAATGTAAGGACAGAGGTGCTCTTGTGTTCTTTGTAATTACAGTGGCCCAGGCCAACAGCAGCCATGGGAAGCGCGCGCTGTTAGAAGCCTCAGAATGTACCTATTGCATGAAATGTGGCAACCATAGCGATTAATTTATAAGAATTTGGGGCACTTTTATAATTACGCTTCGTTTATGGAGCAGTTAGAATATCGCGGCTTATTTTACTTCCGAGTTTGTAAACCTTTAAATTTCAATGCATCGTCTGTTATCCCCTTAGTTCTATGTTACAAATCGTTATCAAACGTTCGACGACTTATGTTAATTAATGCGACATTGTTTATCGAAAGATAACAACTGCCAAGCTGATGGGCGATATGTGTAGTACTTCGGGCATCTGTAGCAATTTCAATTTTTATTACCGATAAGGTTGCGTTAAAATAATAATTGCAACATTTTGGTGGGGATTTTTGGTCACACCTCAAGTAATATGTTAAGTTTTTACCACGTACTTCCGTAGTGATACGAATTATCTGTAGTAAAAGAATACATATATTGGACTGGAATCCGCGCAGCATTTTATTGTTAATTGGCTGTCGGCGTCACATCAACAACCAATGAAAAATTTTAGTGTATTAAAAAGGGTGCTGATACTTATGGGTGTCGCAGCCTTGGTTCAAACGCAGGTAGGCGACTTCTCGTTCGTTTATAGTAACGAAAGGAATTATTACAGAACTTTTAGCGCGAGCTTGCTGATGAAGATTTGGGAAATTTCAGTGCAAATGAGTTGAGTTGCATAAAAGATTTAAACATAAATGGGAGTAAAGTAACGCTGTTACTGAAGCAACCCTACATACCTGAGAATGACAAAGAAATGAACGATTTTATGGAGTGCTCCTGGAAACTAGATGGATTGCTCCACCCCAATGGTACCGTGGCGTGGGTACCTTTCTATTTTTACGTGAAAGGTGCATACCTCGATGCCGTCGGTGAGGTAGCATTGAGCGATTTCTTTGCCAATGATACAATTTATCATTGTAAGGATAGCAAAGGCAAATCGCCAGGACAAGTTGCGGTTTTGCTTATGAATTGTGTTGTACGTCGTCTATATATATAACCTGATCAATTTTGTTTGTGAATTAAATATAACTAAAACTTCAGTACTGTGTCTGACTAAATAGTTAGAACAAACACATGGATTATCTCGCTCTAGTACACGGTACAATAACGAGGTAAAGCTATCGAAGAAATAGTACTTTGCGCACCAAGGCGGGAAAGTGGATGCTTTCCGTGGCAAAGGAAGACATAGTAACGCAAAACACGCGTGACCACTGACCAGTGAACTTTTCCTGGATTTCTGTCGAATTTTGACAAAGTTCCATAATCAAAATACGGGACACTTCAACGCCGATATAGTACAAAGCATATTCCAACCGTCAGTTTTCTTCTTGTCAAGCTTATTAGGACAATTCGACTTGATATGTCGGAATTCATGACATCTATAACACTTCACAGTTTTCTTGAAGTCACCAGACCTTGTGTTCCAACAAATGCACCTGCTTGATTTTTACTGAAGTTTACTTGTACATTAGGCTGGGCCGAAAAACGCGAAAAAAAATTATTTTTCGAAATCTGAGTTGGAATAGTGAAAAAGTTGTAAAATGGGTAAAAAACACGGCTGATATTTTTTCAGATTTTTAAAAAAATATTTAACCGCGCCCCAGAGGCGCCGAAATAATTTTTTTTTCGAGGTTATATTTTAGATTTGGCATAGCAAAAAACTGATAGGTATCAACTCACTTATGATGAAAAAAAAATTTGGGTAAGATATTTTGAATTTTAGCCGAGCCCCGCGGCATTTAAAATTTTATTATGCAGCTCTTCGCTTGAAAAAATAATGATAGGATTGAATCCCGCACTCAAATTTTTTTATAACATTATTTAGACAACCCACAACTCACCACGAGCACGAGTTGCACCCTCCCTCCCACCCTTAAATAAACGAGTCATTATTAGATATTTTCAGTCCTATAGTACTGTTGCTTATTGTCAAAGCTAGGTAATTTTTTCCTAGCGTTTATTTTTGTTCTTATATAACCGTCCCTAGAAGACTCGCCACAAACTTTAGTCGATGCTTCTTATGATTTTCACGCACCTCTCGACTGCCTGGGTGTGGCACGGCAATTTCGGGATAGTAATATAAGACTTATTTTGTATAGCTGCCAACAAATCGTCTCATCGGCCACCATGGCTATGAGTATATTTTCTGGGTGAGCAAAGTATGCATTAGTTTTAATTACTTTGTCAATGACTGTTCTTACTTCTTCTGGAAGGGCTCTTGACTCACTGATGATTTTCCATAAATGTACTGAACCATACTCAATTGACGATTTCGTTTTTATATTAAACCAGGTAGGTGCGTATACTTTCATAATAAACTGCACTAAAAGAAGCAAATTTCGAGAAGGGTTGCTAGAGGCTACATACAAGCGTAGTGTTCGATTTGCTGTCGTCAGCCATCGCGCATGGCTAATTTTTCCAGGATCTCTTTTAGATAAAGCTTCAGAACAGCAACCATCTCGAATAGCACAACAGATTGGATGATGCAATATCAGGGCAGATATATCTATTTATAACGGGACTTGGCTAAATATAAACAATAAGATTTTTATTTCTTTTTCAACCATAATTCAGTAAGAAAAAAGTCAATTTTCTTTTAACAAGTCAGACTTAAAAAAAATTATTATACGTTTTTTAGAGGCTCAGTGGCGTGGCGAACTATCAAAATATTTTATGCATTTTGTTTTTGTGTCATAATTAAATCAACCCCTACATTCCTATCTATCAGTTTTTTAGTAAACCAAAACTATTGTAATATTAACAAAATTACTTTCACCCGCCGTCGCTTAAATGCAAAGGGGCGCGGCTAAACATTAAAATTTTTTCACCAAATTTTTTTTCTGTCATAGGTGACTTGATACTTATCAGTTTTTTGCTATACCAAATCAAAAATTTGATTTTGAAAAAAAAAATCTTCGACGTCACTGGGGCGCAGCTAATATTTTTTAAAAAATTCTGAAAAAAAATCAGCTTAGTTTTTTACCCATCTCACAACTTTTTTTCACTATGCCATGTCAGATTTCTAAAAAAAATTTTTTCGCCCCACCGTATTGTACATCCTGAAGTAACTTTGTCTTGACATAGTTCCCGGTAATTTCTTCATGTCCACAATTATTAGTTGATATTTATCTGGAAGATCAACCAATATTAATGTTCCAATCCATTGTTCCTTAACTTCCAAGTCAACACCGTTTTGCTTAGTTGCAGTTACTTCGATGAGCAATTCTCAAACTTCGTTTGTTGCAAGTTAACTAAATCAAGCAATAAAATCTGACTGCAACAAGTATCTTTTCTCCTCCTTCAACAGCATTCCGGATATTCCCCATCTGGTAGTACGCCTGCACAACTTCCAGGTATCTCAGTTCTCACGTCCTTATTTGTGGTAAATTAGTAAAATAGCGTAGGCCCATAACCTAATGGAATTAATACGTTTATTACCAAAAGAACAATAATGATTATGAAGTGAGGTATCTATCTGACAAACTAAAACTAACTGGATCTAATTAAGAAAAAAAAACAAATTTCAGTTTCTTTTTTCAACAATATCATTCCAAAGAAAAGCCAATACTTGGGAAAATATATTATGCGGAATATATTTATTCCCTAGTGAAATTTGCGTCTGGACTTCGTCATCAATCATTTTTCAGCCAAATGATTTCTTCAACGTCCAATTGCGTACACAATATTAAGATTAAGATAAGTAAGTGTTTATATCAATGTAGATAGTAACGTTCAAACTCGGGCGACCTTATTAGAGTTTTGTGCTTAACTCGCTGCAGCTGCACTTTGTAACAATGATTTACGTTTTGGTACTGTGTGCGTTAGTTACTTTGAGTCATGGAACTAAGGTAAAACTTTTTTACATTCCATATCATTAACTGCCTATTATGGAAAAGTGGACTTCATCGTTAGTGCATGAAATATTACCATTACTTAGGCACTACAATACTTTTACATGTGTTACTTCGTGTGAATATCATTTATATAAATTATATAAAAAGTGTAACTGGTTTAGGTAAATTAAACTTTGGCTCGCATGTTTACAATAAAAGTCGGCTCTTCAGTTTGGACAGTTCAAGATCTCTAATTAGATTATATAAATACAGGGTGTTCATCAACTGGTTCACAAAGGATAGCGCTCTTTCATTTTTAGGAACGGTGTAGCTATACTTTGTTTCAAGGGTGCTGAACCTTTCGTCACACTATCTGACGTCATATAAAAATTAAGGCAGGTCGTAAATTAGTAATTGGTTTACATATTGTCACATTGACGTTTCAACTTATTTATTAAGGTGTCACTATCGTTCATTATTATCAGACCGTCCAAGTTGACAATCACTTGTAAGGCATCTGGTCCTGATAGGTTTTTTCCTGTCCCCAGGTTTTATAATGGCTAAATGGTCATGTATTTTATGTAGAGGAACTCCGTTGGTATGAATTAAACTCGAGATTAAACTTTTTCCACCGTTTGTAATCACCTCATGTAACCGATTCTTTGCACCGACGACAGTCGAAATGGATACTGCCAGAGCATCAGAAACTCTTTGAGATGAAGTGTATGATGGTTACAGAAAACGCATAGGAACATTTGTAACTTAAAGTTTGTTTAGGCAGTTCGTAAATTAATATTTCGTTTACCTAATGTTGATGTGAAATTAAGCATGCTACCAATGTGAAGAATAGGTACGCGTTAAGTTGCGCGAATTTTAATGACCCTTAACTAGCCATTTGCAGAAGTAGAATAGGCCATGGTTTATCGGTAAGCCTTTCGCATTTATATATCTTACAAATTTGAGATAAAGCGTAGTCATTATACCACAGGCTCATTGAAATAACAACGCATACATACAGTTTCTGTTCTTTTGCCACACACTCGAGATATTCGCATAAGGATCTTGAATATCTTCTGATCCGATTTATTTAAAAAAAAACGCAATTGTGAGAGAAAACAGGTAGTGAAGATATTTATTCCTGAAAAAACTCTCAAATGTTCATATTCAAATCGTATGTACAAAAGAAAAAAACGACACTACACCACAAGTAGGTATATATGTATAAACGGCCCAAAATAATATTCTTAAACACGCTGATTCTCTTCTGCCTCATGAATATAATCATCATAATAATCTTCGTCACTATCAGATTCGTCCAAGTTGACAATCACCGGTAAGATGTCTTAATGTATCAATATGTTGTTCTCGTTCCTAGGCCTGGTTTATAATGCTTCTGTATGATCAAAATATCTTTTCCATTTTTCCGGTGTAACCTAAACAATAAAGTTATTAAGTACTACTGTTTCACAAAACAGCATATAAAGAGGTGTGCAGTGCCTCATTCCATAAAGACAAAACGGCACTGTGTGTGACAGGCTGAATTGAACCGATCCTTGCATCGTAATGCCGTTTGCATTCTGACCATACCATTTCGATTGGATTATACTCGCAGTGATATGGAGGAAGTCTCAAAACACGATGACCATGTTGTAATGCTAATTCGTTCAATCTGTAAAAATCAACATGGAGTGAAAAAAAACCATAACAATCAGCTTCCTATCCAAAGGTCTACCTAACTGCAACCAAAATTATCAGCGATGCCTACCTAAATAGTTTTGGTGGTATATGATTTTTCACTACTTCCCAGATCTGATCTTGCATCATTGTTGGTGCAAATGTAATGTCTCGTGATGTTAGCCACTTTATAAGTGACATTTTTGTCCAGTATTGATTTGGACTTTTTTCTACCAATCCTGAATGGTAAGAAGCGTTGTCCATAATTATAAGAGAAGGTTCATCCAAGTTCGGGATCAATTGTTGTTCAAACCACTTCTCAAAGTTAAGGCAATTCATGGAGTCATGATAGTCTCCGGACTTGCTACCAGATTTAAAAATTAGACTTGCGTTTGGTACAAATCCATCTTCTGATCCTGCATGGAGTATTATATACCGAACCCCTTCACCACTTTTTTTTCTAACTGTTTTGAGAGTACCATCTTGCCAGCTTCTTCTAAAAGACCCTTTACTGTATATCCAGGTTTCGTCTAAAACCACAGGTCGTAATGGAAAGAGTGAAGTTTCGTTGTGTTTAAGGTCTCTCAAAAATTGTAGTCTTCTTTGAGCTACATAGAGCTGTTACATTAAAAATAATCTATTAGAAACGGTGCATCTCCGCCACGTGAATTTCAGTTTCTTCAAACTGCGGGATAAAGAGAGGTAGCAGATATTTCTACGCCATCAAGTCGTTGAAGATTACTGTGTAAAGAACGGAGTGTAACATTCTCACCTATAAAATCAATTCCATAAGTGTTCTCGCGAACGTCTTCATTTGAAGCAAATCTTCCCTTAGAACATAAAGAATGTTATTTACCTGTCGCATACATTGCATAAATCCGTGTCCTTATTACATGTTCATGTATTTCATGCAGCGGAGGTCCGTGAGATAAACTAATAGCCACACTTTTTTGCGATTTGTAATCGTCATCTTTTTTAACACCTCTTGTACTAATTCTTTTTACAGTCCACAACGATACACCCAGGGCAGCACAAACCCTCTGTGATTAAGTAAGCATGATTATAGCAAACGCATAGGAAACACTTACATCATATACTGCGCTTACGGGTGTTAAAGTTTTGCCTGCTTCTTTTTCCCCTTGGAAGTACTGAATCAACTTCAAAATCAAACTTTGCTCACCTTCTGTGTATCGGTTCGTCATATTTACCTAATTGTAACGGTAATGACCTAAATTCATGATATGAGCGAATCGAACGTTTATGTAAAATGTTTAAAATACTTGTCTGTTAACGGCGTTGCTGCACTGTGGACTTGCCTAAGCGTTTTCAACTTTGATGATATTTACTTCACTTTTAACACAAACTACCTAATCAAAAGGCATTTAACACTGGAAATCTGTCTATAACGAAAATCGTTTGACGGATTGATATTATTGACAGATCAATAATTGGTTTATTTGTCACGACTTACGTTAATGACGTAATTTTTTGTCTCAATCGATTTAAATGTAATGAAGAGAGAATCACATTTATGACGTCAGGTTCAGCACCAGTGAAACAAAGTATAGTTTTCCTTTCATACTTTTGATGTCAGACTATATTAATATAAGTTGTCTGGATAGTTTAGGGACACATGACACATTAAAACAAGGCATTTTGTTAGACTATCGTACAGTAGAAACAATTACCTATTTGATGGAAGCATGAATCTAGGTATGTGTCTCGTTTCTCGTGGTCTTCATTCACTACTTCCTTTTTTGTGTGAGTTCTACATATGATAATCCTTCCGTCTAGGCGTTACTAACCACCTCATAATGAATCGTAAGTCCTAACGCACTACCTCGCAATTATCTTTTTCAGGATATAATCAATTTTAACCCCCACGAAGAGGAGTGCATAAACGAGTTGTACGGTTCCAAAAATCATCTACTCGAACAACTTTTTGCACGACAATTATTCATTGAGAACAACGATGTTGTTCGAAAAGTGGTATCTTGCTCCTGGAAAAAGGAAGGAATAATCGACGAAGAAGGGGAGATAGTTTTCGATAACTTCAAAAAGTACCTTATCAACAGCGTTCGAAAAATAAACGGCTGCACCGATTATCTAGCCCTATTGGTAGCTGGAGACGCTTTTAACTATTGCAAGAACATATCTGGAAGTGCGTCTTCTGATACCGCGATTAAAATTAGCAATTGTGTTATTAGAAAAATTAACTCGTACTACTTACGATCGTTATAATTACCATAGTATATGTTATACTAGTGAGATTTTGAAGTGTAGTTACCTGCTTAACGCGATTTATTTTAATTGTAGGTTAGTGGAAATATTATCCAGCTGTCAGTGGAAGAAGAAGAATGTATTGTTGAAACTCGAATAAGTAGAGACATCGTACTAGCAGATAAGGAAAGTCGGTACTCTAAAGAGGAACCTCTATTAAACACCTATCTTGGTTGTTACGCAGAAAAACTGGCAAATGCTGGAAAACTTCATTTTACTAAAAACGTACATGTAAGGCTACCAGGTTACAACACTCCGTATGTAATTACATCGTTATACTGCAATGAAAATTATTATTCTTCCCTAAATAATCGCCCGTGCGTTCAGCGTATTTAGGACTGCCTTTATTAGTGGTGTAGTATTCTCATAAAATGCTCAGTTTTGAGAATTAAACAATTTATTATTTACTTGGAATCAATTTGTTATTTACCACCACTGACCACCTTGTGAGGGATCCTGCATGGAATACACACTCGGACCGTTCTTGTCCAAGCTGCTGCTAATGCTAAGGATGAAACACGAGCAGATAAGCCTAACTTTTTAGCGCATTTTTGAAAAACAATACGCTATTATATTCGTTATGACTGGCTGGCTGGCTGTCCGGCTGAGATCTCAGCAATTACAATTGCTAGCGACTAAAAGCGATCTGATATATTGTATGCATATGTTGATTCACAACTTGTTTACTTGATATTGGTCAATTATATGTAGACTTAATGCTTCTTGTTACAAACGTAAGGTGGTACTATGTCATCAAAAATGAGTTGCTGTGGAGTCACCTTTGGAATTTTTGTTTACATGGGAAAACGTACTTAACTTAAACTTCCAAAGGCGACTCGGCAGCGACTCATTTTTGATCGCACGTTTCTCCATTTCGTTGTTCTTAAAAACAAATTAAGACATTTAGTTCCCGTTGTCAAAAGTATCAGACGAAGAGCCAATGACCAAGTTTAGGTTGTCATTTCAAAAATCGTAAAAATTCACACAGTAAATCCTTGACCTACCGAGTTTAAAAATCACTTCTGGCAGCTCCCTCTGTGACCAGAGTCATCAGTCATACACTTCATTCGTACACGACTACTGAGATTTTGTTTTGCGGGTTGTATGCAGTTGTTCGTTGTAGTTTAAATCCTACCAGGTTACCGACTTCAGAAAATTCGAATTGTCGACCTTGGTCGGTAACAACAGTAGCGGTGTCCCGAACAGCGTGATCCAATTGTCAAACACAGCACGGGCTACTGTTTCTGCCCGGATGTCTGGAACAGGTACTGCCTCGTCTCATGACACATCGCGTGTATTCGGCGATCATTGGTCCATATCAATAAAAGGGAGCATATACTTATACTTGCAAAATTCAAGTAAATACTCGTAAGTGTTCCTTAACACTGCGTGACTTAGCAGCGCTGCTGAGCAGCAGGACAGGACGCAGTGCAGCGCTGCTAAACAGACCAGTATGAAGGGGCACTTACGAGTATTTACTTTGAATTTTGCAAGTATAAGCATATGCTCCCTTTTATTCATATGGGCCATTGTCACGCAGTACCTCTGATCTTCCGACGTTGGTAGTTGGCCTATTATGTCCAGATGGATGTTTTCAAATCTCTTTACATTCTCTGGAAATTTTCCAACTTGCGACTTTACATGATTTACGTGATTTCTGGAATTTGGCAGTTGAGGCACGTTTTTGTTCAGTGTTGGATATCGTGCTTCATATTATACCATACAAATCCTATCGTTTTATGCCACATCTTACTCTTGAGTGAGCTGATTTGTGGAAGCTTTCAAAAAACTAAAAGTCGAAGACCATGGGACAAGCTTACGGCTAGACCTTTACTGAAAGTCAGAGTTTTTCGATAACGTTCCTCTCAAAACAGTGGAAGGAACAAAACCAATGGGTTCGTAAGGGTTTAACGAAAACACTGGTTTTCTAACTGCATAAAGAAATAATGTCAAAATTGGCAGTGATTATCCAATACAGCAAAAAAAACACAAAAATCCTACGTATGTGATAAATTCGGTTCTCTCAAAGGTTACCTTAGATACGAGTATAATTAATCATAACAAATGCAGTGCCAAAATGTTGTGTGATCAAATTGGAAAACTGTACTTGAACTGATTGTCTATTTTGCCATATGGAGAATCAAGCAATGACATCTTACTATTTCAAATACAGGGAGTTTTTTAGTATAGGGATCTAGGAACCAACCACAAATAGAGAGACGGTCAAATGGGGAAATAATTGCAATTTTACGAGTTCACATAAATGCCCTTCTTGTTTTACGCCATACATTGTGAAATAGATAAAGCTTAACATGTTTTTTGTTATTTGGTTTCTTGGTTGGCTCTCGTTATTTTTGACTGTATACTTAGTAAACAACTCTATATTAATAGGAGCACGTAACTGCATATTTTTGAAGCTACATACGAGTCATAGGTAGCATTTCCACAGTTGTTCTGCTAAAGAATTTTTCAAAACCGAAAAATCTTTTTTAGGACAACTAACCCGTAACTAACGATTCATTGAACCTCGCCCTTATAGGCAAAGCTCTATAGTAAAGGATGTTTGTATTGGATGAATAGTAAAAAGATACGGCAGTTATTTATTTATCCAACCCTTATCCTCCATTTTAGGTCATAGTCTAACAAATAAAGCATTTTCTCTACAATAAATTTGGAATGCCAAAATTTTGTAACGTACGCACATGCATCAAGGTATTACCGATGTTTTTCATGCAGACAATAATCCCAACTCAGAAAAATGCAAATTAATACAATTATAAATCTTAACTGCTCTTTGCCCGCAGCTACCCCCATGAAAGTGTTTACATTTACTTATAGCGTCCGCTCTACTTTTTGTTGGTATCTTATTTCCTCGCCAATCCTCAAAGTATTTGTCAACCTTTTCGGTATCTACATTTCCAAATTTATCGAGTAGCCCCAGTGACTTCCAATAGCACCCGAAGAATTTGTTGTACTCGTCGTCATCTGAAGGCACCATGGGATGCTGCAGGTACTGATAGATCTTAAGAGTTTCATTACCTAATTCTTCCTTCTTTATACACTCCTCTACAGTTTCGGAAAAGTCTGAAGGATAACCCTAAAATAAAACAATTCAGCTTAAATTATCTAAATTACAGACGATTTTAACAAAGGACACAAACCGTGATTATCACAAATAACGCGAAAATAACAATTGAGTTGTTCATTATAAGTTAGATGGAAACCTACTGATAGTTAACGTGCACTTGCGCCCACGCCAATTTAATTCTAATGCGGGGGTCAGAGAACCGATAAATTAGTTAAGTACAATTTTAGTTAATTTAATGTTTAGGGATAACTATGTACATGATTTAACACTGGAACTGCATTGTGCAACGCCTATTAAATGTTTCATTATTTCAATTTGTTAAGTGTTACCAGGGGCGGATTTAGGTTATTCGCGGCCCGGTGCTAATTGGTGTGAAGGGGCCCCCTCAGCTAATTAGGATTACGAATTTAAATCTTATGAGTGGTTTATGCATTAAAAAAGTACGAGAAGAAGTAAATGATTTCTTTATTATAAAACTAAATGTGCAAAATTTAAGACGTAGAAAAGGAAAACGGTAAAGCCTTCTTTCGGTGTTTATTTCTAACAAAGGTTTTTATTATATCTTCAAAATTAATACTTCTTAACACATCGTGCTCAATCGAACAAATAGCCAATGAAACCAATCTGGTTTCCCCCATTGAAGATCTTAATTCATTTTTTATAAAACTTAATTTTGAAAACGATCTTTCTGATTCGCAGTTTGTGACGGCAAGTGTTAAATATATTCTTAAAACTATATACATGTTTGGAAACACTGAAATCAAATCTTTTTCAACAATAATATCTAGCATATTTTTAGGGACTAAATTCTCGAAATTTGGGATAGTCAATAGGAAATTGCGGAAAAATACAATCTCTTCAACCAAAGCGATATCCAAGTCGTCCTTATACGTGTCCACAATCTTCCGAGCACATTCTCTTAATTCTTCTTCCTCAATATTTCGGAAATCACCAAAAAATCCGAAAAGACGAGATATGTCACTATATGCCTCACGTCGTTTATCAAGTTCGGAGACTAATGTGTCAATGGATACATAGTATGTCTCTATTTTAAATTTTGTCGAACCTTCTAAATGTAACGACTGCCCATCTGGAAACTTTCTCTTCAAATCGGATCTTTTTTTTGAATATTGAAAATCGACGTGAGTACTAAGATTTTTGGTCTTTTCCTCAAAGCATTCAAAATTTTCTCGGTGTTTTTTTATGCTGGTTTGTAATCCTTGCAGTAGTTGTGTCCCAGTGTTTAAATCTAGGCCAGGTTTTTGGAGAGTATTGCTAACAGCCCCAAGTTGGTTTAAAACTGTGTTCCAAAATATGGTCATAAAAGCCGTTTCAAATTTCTCTAGGGTGTTGACTAAAGAAGAACTCTCCATTTTAGTTTCCTTTTTTTCATTTGGATCATCTCGAATAGCTGTAAGACTATCGTAGATTTCGTCGTAATTAGCTTCCAAAGCTTTTGTTGCATCTTCCCGGCATGACCATCTAGTGGACGAAAGTGATTTCAACGTAAATTTTTTTTTATTTTCTTGCAACTTTCTTGTTAATACGTCCCACCGATGAGTTGAATTGGCGAAAAAAGCGTACAATTTTTGTAAAAACATGAAGTATCTTGATGCCTCTGTAGATGCCTCAACACTGCACTGGCCCACTAGATTTAGCGAATGCGCAGCACACGGAACATAAAATGCAAGATTGTTTCTGTTTCTAATTTCAGCTTGCAATCCCCTGTATTTCCCCGACATATTACTAGCATTGTCGTATGACTGGCCTCGACAATTTAAAATGTTTATGCCATGAGTATCGAGAAATTCTAGAATTACAGTACTCAGTGTGACTAAAAATGGGCAGAAATGTCAAAAAACGTTCATGCACTTTATTCGAAATGCAATACCTAATAATCACTGAAAGTTGATCAGTGTGCGATATGTCAGGTGTAGAATCCACGATTAAGGAATAATATTTGGCATTTTTTATTTCGCAAATAATTTTATTCTTGACTTCGCCACCAATGATTTCAATAAACTCCTCATATATTGTTTTCGATAGATAGGATACATGACCACTACCTTTGCCGCCATACCTTTCGATGTGCGTTTTGAGAAAGGGGTCAAACTCGGAAATCAGTTCTAGTATTCCTAAGAAATTTCCATTTCTACAATCGCCAAACTTTTCTACGTGACCACGAAACGATAAGCCCCTCTCAGCTATAAATTTAATGACGGTAACTATTCTTTCAAATACTTTTATCCAGTATTCACTTTCTTTGTTGAACTGATCGATTAAACTTTTGTCTATACGACAACTTAGATTCGTTCTATTTAAAAATAAAAACATACTATCACGATGTTCGATGCTATTTTCATGAGAAAGTGTGCTCTCTTCTGCTTTACCCCAATTTGAAAATCCCTGGTGAGCAAATGCACTCACACCTTTTACAGCAAATAACTTGCAAACAAAACAGTAGATGCTCCCAACAGAAGGCGAATACATGATCCATTTTCGGCGTACAGTTTCTCCGTTAATCATCTTTTTATGAAATAGTCTATTGGACAGTTTTCTATTTGGCGTTTTGAAACAACGTTTTGATGATTCATAAACGCCGTCATCATTTTGGAAATAATCAGAACCTTTTTCTACACATCTCGATCTAAATTCATCCGTTAAGTTTGTAGGCCATAATCCTGCATCATTGGAAATCCACAAACTAGAGGAAGATGACGTTGATTTAGGTTGCAATTCATTCTGGCTATCTTTTCGAAGATTCTCGTTTTCCTGCGACTGCGAGTCCAGTTCGTTTATTTCGCCAACGTTTAAGCCAACGTCATCAATTGTTTCCTTCCCTTCGTGATCTTGTAGAGATGCAATGTCCTCTGGAGTTTTAAAAAACATGGTCAATTTCGGCAATTTTTGAATGCTTTTTAGTTTTTCCTCTTTCGCCTGTAAAGATAAAACATTTGCAATAGCACGCGCGTATATAAATAAGCTGTGACTTGTGAGCAACTATAATAGTTATTTATGCAATGAGTGTATAAATAAGGCGTTTTATTGGTGAGTGAGATGTTTAGTCCACGAGCGCAGCGAGTGGACTAAATTCGAACGAACCAATAAATTGCCGATTTATACATGAATTGCATACAACGTTTTTTCGTTGGTAGGTAATTTTGAATTAAAACACAAGAAACTACAAACGAAGTTACGATTCACCAAATTAAAATTTTTGCCGTTGTTATAGCTTCCGAAAATGTCATGTTGACAGTTTTCCTTAGAAAGGTATGTATGAGTGTTGCTAACGATTAATGGTTGCTAACGTATAATGGTCGCTAACGATTAATGAGCTTCATTATTACACCCGTAACTAAGGAGTAACTTAGGTTTAAGGTTGTTATAAAGAGGTCAACGAAAAACTAATTTTTCTACTCATATTAAATAATAGGTAGAATACTGATGCGTTTTTAATTGAGAAAGTTATCTATTATTCAATATGTTTTCATTATTCAACTGTTGTCAGCCAATCGTATTCCGAGTCTGTCATTACTCTTCAGCTCACATTGTAGGGTTGCCTTGGAAACATATGTGTAGCAAAAATCAAGATCTCGGATCGCTGTCAAACATTAATGTCAATCAAACAAATTACGAGAAATCAGTTTTGTGAAAATTACGTGAAAATGGACAGTAGTGCAAGCATGATGAGCAGTGACGACGATATAATTCTAACTTCTCCGTATTTTACGTACATTGCTGATTTTGTCAATTGTTTGATGACATAATAAAACCATTATGCATAATTTATTATTACTGTAATTATTGAATACAAGTAGAAAAAGTATAGTATTTAACTCGTGAGAAAGGCATTATTCACTCAGATAAATTACGCCACTCGTCTTCGACTCGTGGCGCAAATCTTATCTTCGTGAATAATTGCCAACTTTCTCACTCGTTGAATAATATACTATTAACGTAGTTTGTTTCATTTTTTTTTTGAGTTTCAGAGTTGGTAGGTATGTAATTAATAATTATGTTTAAACTTGAACATCATAATGACTACATTTCTACATAGACTTTATGAAACATACCTTTCCTGCAAAGTGAGACGCACTACGCAGACACACCACACTATCCGACCTTATTCAATATTCAGCATGAATTAAATTTACTCACCTTCCGCTTAGCGGCTCCGCTTTTATATTGCCTCAATGATGACATTATAAAACTAAAATCGCAATCACTAATAAACACGAACAATTACTTTTGACAGAGATGGAAAGAGGCGAAATAGCCACACGCGCACTTTAAGTAGGTACTTAGTTAGCTACCACAACACAATTCACAAATAATGTAATGAATAGTCAGGAATATTTTATTTTTCGTGATGGTGGTAAATATTACACGCTTGTCAACTTGCAAGTACGGTTAGTGGCAAGTCGGTTACTTTACTTTACAGAAGTCGAGTCGGAGACTACAGATCAAAAACAATAATTACTAGAGTAATATTTCGATAGGTATATGGCCTATGGGCTGTGCTGTGCGTACTGCGTAGCCGCGTGGGCACTAATACCTGTCTTGTCTCAGACTGAAGATTGCAACCCAAAACGAAATTGGCGAATTTTCTTGCTTAAGTAGGGTTTAAACTTTAAAGTTTAATATTTTCCAAGGTGTAGGTACGTTTGTGTAAAGTAGAATTCTAAGTAGTAGTCTAAAAATAAGAAGGCATCTATTGTTAATTGTTACCAAACACGTTCAACTTTCGGCGCTCTTTAATCTTTATGACTTTATACCTAGAATTAGAAAGGGCAAAGGACTCCCTTGAAAAAATACTTTTATTATTACACAGAAATTGTGAGTAATGGGTATATAAAGTACTTTACGCATACGACAGAGTGACAGACTAAAATCTAAAATACTATTACATATATTACGCACCAATGTACTTTTTTAAAGTAAGTAGCCTTAAATTTCCGCCTGTCGTAGAATCGAAAATAGATTCTTTTCGTCCTTATTGGCTATATTTATTTTTAAAAAAGGAGAGATTTGTGAATAGCAAAAGGGACCCCTTAAATCGGGAGGCCCGGTGCTAAAGCACCTGTAGCCCCCCCCTAAATCCATCACTGAGTGTTACTTTCTATTGTTGTGCGCTAAGAAAAGACATGACTTTTAACAGCGAAATGTAGGAAATACATCCTCATTCATCGGTATAATTGTATCCGTATTTTATTCTTAATGGGAGACATACGGATTTGATAAAATTCTACAAAAAATTCAATAGGTTATGTATACACCAAAGATAATAGGATAGTAGTAGTATCTATGGTATATACGTTTCATTACTCTTATATATCAGTGTTAGGTGAATGATACGTGTGTTAAATGAATAGGTCGGTCACCTGCAGCACGTACCTTCCATGCTTACATCTTAGAGAAGGAAAGATAGAGAAGGGATAAAAGGTGATCCTAAAGTGAAGCAAATTTTAGCTCTGTTTGCCACCAATAACATGGTCGCATACAGTCCTTTTCATGGGATTAAAGCAGCATCGTACCATTTTCACAAGATAACAAGAAAGTTAATTTTGATGCGTACAATCACGCACGGCCTAAAACGCGCGTGTAGGTACGGCATAAATAAGAAGTAAAAAACCTTTATTTGCCATCAAGCTATGCGAAAATTTGATTCAACTCGCAGCATTACATTTGATTGTGTGTTACGAGTCCCCTCCTTCCATAGTCTAAGACTTACTTATAATTGTGTGAAATAAATAAAAATCGAAAAACCCTAAAAGAACCACAGCTGCGTAATGAATAAAAAAATCTAGAAGGCCCAGAAGCTTTTTCCTCCAATTTACATACTCCATATTACTCTGAAACCTAATTTTTATTCAATTATTTAATAGATGTAGAACACGTGCACTTTCTTTAAATGAGTGGGATTTTGGTGAACGTAGTCAAAAGGAAAAGAACTTCTTCTATGTATATGCGACCGACAGTCAAAATTTTAAAATCGACCATCATATTTAAAATTGGATTCAATAGTCCGTCACCGTTCAGTAGATCTCTAGCTACACAATAGGCTAGAGGTATTCTGTCTACAACGCAAACAGATCTCGATTTTTCTCCGTGGTCACACCAAAAACGAGCCCTTCTGTGGTTCCCTTACAAGTTTTCGAACTGCACAATAATGTCATAGCCGGTTTTTCTTTACACACGAGCTTGCATACCGTAACTTTGTTTCATCCAGTCATTGGGAACTCTGAAGACAAATTATGAATTCTGTCCAGTTTTCGTCTAAGGTCGTTGACATAATCTTTACCCGCCAAGTCTTCACCAAGCTTGCTGCCAAGTTCCAGAAATTACACTTGCGGGCGCTTGTTTGTCCCTGCTCTATGTTCGAAGTTGAAGTCGTCTTCTGGTATTCTTTCGATCCATTTCGCCTAGCATCTTGCAATCTGGCCTTCTGGATTTTTGAAATTTAGTAACCATCTTAAGGCTACATGATCTGTCTTTAACGTAAAGTTTCCTCCGTACAGATATTTGTAGAAGTACTCGATGAATTTTACTCTCGTCGGATAACGCAATAATTTCGCTCCGGCTTAGAAAGCACCTTACTGAATTGTCCAGCAACTTTCTCCTTTCCATCTTGTTTTTTGGGACAGAACACCTCCATTGCGACGGTACTCGCGTCGGTATTCAAAATGTATGTCCCGTGCGATCTAGGATAACACAGTATTGGAGTAGTCGTTAAATAACTTTTCAACCCATTCTTTCTTAATTTTTTGTTTGTAACAATATGTTCCGGGAGTTTCCGGCCAGGGGGACTATGATTTTCGGATTCAGCGGATTTTTTTACACAAAATCCACTTGGTCTCTTTGAGTGAAGTGACAACATGGAGTTTAGACTACTTTTGGAGCTAATTTGACTGGACTATTTGTAAAACCTCTTCTTCTTCATGTGGTTTTCGAAGGTCTTTCCGAGGGTCTTTCTCATCACAATGGTTTCGTACAGGTAGACTAAATAAGTTTTCCACAATAATTATTGCTTTTGCACATTTGCTTGAGACTTTCAAATGTCGTCGGTTTGATCTGCTCGAGTAGTGTCCTCGTTTAAAATCACTCGCGACAGAACACACTCAAGTGGTAAAATTACCAGTTCCTCATGATATCCATAGCCAAAATGAAATCGCTTTCAATATCGGCATTATAGGAATAGCCGACATCGAAGGATCAAAAAGCGACGTCGCTTGACCGCTTGGCCGCCAGTTATTCCTGTGTTCGGACACCTCTTGCTTAAAACTCCTAAAAGCCAAAAGGATCGATAGGTCCCGCTTTCGCTGTTCCTATGCTTACTGAGAATGGGGATCAAGCCATCATTTACCCTTTTGCTCTACACGAGGTTTCTGTCCTCGCTGAGATGGCCTTGGAACACCTGCTTTGTTATTTAACAGATGTAGCGCCCTAGTCAAACTGCCGGCCTGATGTTAGTTCCCCTTTGTCTTTTGTGTTAAATAATGAATTTAAGAAATGCAAAAAATTTCCGGAAAGGCCCCGTTGCATTCTTCGCATATCAATGTGTTTTATTGATGAACATTTTAATATTGGCGTCGTTTTTAAGGAAACACAATTATCTATTCCACCATCTCTTAATTCTGTTCTTATTAATAATAATTTGAGCTGTAGGATTATTGTTCCAGTCACCTTTAGTGCGTATTGAGGAGAAAAAGAGTTCCAAGTGATCCTGACTAATTTTATATGTACGTTAACATAACAGCATCTTTCGGAGATCTTCATAAATCATTCCAATAAAGCCGGTTTTTCTGTTTCCATTGCCATATCCGCTGATGATAAAGTCGATATATATCTAATATAGCAATATGTCCATTTGGCATAACGCTTTCTTGAAGCTCGCAGATCTGTATCCACGACTGTTTAAATGTCAAATATGTTGTTACAAACCCTAATAAACTTGACCGTAGCCAAGCGATTTTCAATCATGCATGTAAATTTGGTTTTTGTGGCAGTACAGCAAGATGAACTTTCATTTTTTGTTTGATGAAATTAGTATGGCCTGCCCTTAAGTTGCTTCCTACATCCAACCCTTCTTTGTTTTGGAAATTCACTAAATGCGATATGAATTCACTATAAAATAATTACACCCTTATCTATCAAGCATAGATATGTTTGATGCTGTACCGTCGCTCGTGACATACTCTACATTTATATCACGCATAAGTCATCCCGTTCCAAATGTTTCCTCTGGTCCATAACTAAAGCTATTTGTAACCTGTGGTGGGAATTTTTCGCCAGGTGTGTGATTCACTTGTAAACCCTGATTCACAGTTGATAATTCTAGGTATGCCATTTTCTGATTGTGCTCTCGTGGGGGAAGGCAAGAATTAAATATCTACCGTTCGTACATAAGGGTGTGTTGTACGATCTGTAGAACCATAGATCAAAATTAATCCGAGTTTATTTCAAGAAAGTTAATATCTACTGAACCGAGGATCAGCATTATTTTGTTATCGTTGGCAGTACGGCGGTACCGAATTGACAGCGAAATGACAGTTCGACATCTGTTTTTGAATCTGAAAATAGTTTGCAGTGTTTTTGGGTGTTGTTTATTTTGTAAGAAAAACGACGATAAATGTGCAGAGTGACATGGAAAACGCGAATAAACTCCCAAATAGACCAAAGTGTGTAAAGCGCGCTCAGGTAAAACGCGAACGCAATTTTTCGGCGAGAGAGGAAGAGATACCTACCCTTGAAATTAGTCTATAGCGGCTGAGATAGTACATTATATATCAAGGTAGAGAAGTACAGTATTATTGCCTGAGCACCAAGATTACACCTCGAGGCGCTTGCGCCGAGGGGTGTAAGGTGCGAAGGCAATAATAGACTTCTCTACCGTGGTATATATACTATTTTTTTCACTACTAGCACTTGAAGTCCTCTAAATTAACATATTATATTGATAAGAAAGTGAACGGTTGGACAGAAATTTTGTTTATTAATATAACATGCAATCAAGTGTGTGGAAGTACAAGTCAAACCGGCTGTATTTTGATCTGTCATTGAGATATTTTCAAACAGTAATTTCGTTCGAATTTTTTCAAAATGTGATAATTTTAGGTATGTAATTTCTCTGGAAATGGCGGATGGTGGCAATTATTCATTTTAGAGAACTTGTCTAAACGTTTATTGAGCGAAATTTCGGGTTGTGTTTTCTAAAAGTGACAGCGTGACAGTTCTCATTATTGACTACTAGTTAATAATGTCCACATTATTAACCACTTTGAACAAATGCCGAGAAAGCCTACTTTACAAGTGGAAAAAAGGTTAATAATCATGTCATCAGACGCTAGTAGTGAAAAAAATACATTATCTCTCCATTTAGTGGAATTATTTTAGACTGGTTCACTTTTCGAAGTTTCTCTGTCCTAGGAGCATTTCAGACAACATTTGGCCAACAAGGCTTCTTTTACTAATTGGTACTTGCTGAACACGAATATCTATGTTGGCACCTCGAAATCTGAATAAGAAGTCCAGAATTCATGATGGCGGCGAATTTCCGAAAATGTTGATCTTTTCACTCATGCCACCGATTTTTTCGATCTAAAAACTAATTATAATGTTATTCCTGACGTACGTCACGATAATAATAGCTAACTATTGTTTTAACAATAATGTAATAGTTTTTTTAGCGGCAGGATGCGTAAAATTAAGAATTACGAAATTCCTAGCTCTCCTTGCCAAAAGGAGGACTTGCAAAACGATTGATTCTAGTAATCCCGATTCCCGACACATAAGTATTCCCGACATGCGTTTATATTGCATAATTCGCCTTATAAAGTTTTGATAACTGCAATCTTTCGAATTTTACGTTAATTTTCAAATGAAAAAAATGAAAGAGTTCAACTAAACTGCGATGTTTCGGAAGATTCTTATTTTGCTAGGTATTAATTACCGTTACTCAGGATATATTATTATTATTATTAAGGTATGAAAGCATATAGAAAAGTGAAGGCAAATTTATCTTATTTTCATGGTGTTAGGTCAATTGTCTTCTTGAGAATTAGGTACCTACTACAATTAATAAACTGAGCCTTGCGACATTTACAATGTTTTGACGAGCAATCCTATTTACAACCACAAAGGACGATATCTAGAGCAGCCTTCGGAATTAATCTAACGTTGTGAGAATGGGGATGTAGCCATTTTCAATTCTTTCCCCAGAAAATCAAGGATAGATATGCTAGTCTGGGCGACATTTCAGAGTTTAAGGGAAAAGAACTACCTCTTGAGATTTACACCTCATATGCCGTAATTATGGAAATGGATGAAATGCTAGAGAAGATTAGATGGAATCCCAAGAGAATGGAGTTCAGAATTGTTAGATCTAAAGCTTCGCAGCTACTGAAACTTGGCAATGCTTCTCCACTCTGGGAAGTCCTACTTGATTAACGGAGATGGGGCAGGGGACGTGCGCATTCTTCCAAACGGACCTCTGGTAGCCACTTCTCCCTACCGAACTAAGCGGGACGCGCACCGTCGGTGGAAGCTATGGTATCGGCTACCTAAAGAGAAGAAAAGACGCCACCTAAAATATGCGAGCCAAGTCGATACTATGAATAAGTAAAGTTTCATGTACCTAGTTATGATACCAACCTTGTATAGTTTTGTCACGAAGATTTTTGCAAAAGATATATCTTCTCGCTGAGAAGTATGGTACCCATCGTGAACAGTAAAGAAGAGCGCTTTTGAAACACTCTCTGGTTCACATCCGGGTTCCGATATAGATATTTGTAAATGTCTAGTGGGTTGGGTTGGTAGACCAGCCTTGTCTGAAACCCCCTCTGCTTAAAAATAAAGGTCAAAAATAAATAAATAAATAAAAATAAATGCATCCAAGCGTGGAAATTCGCAACAGCAAATGACGTGACATCACTTCCTGTGATAGCGTAAAAGGACAGGATATTCGTTACCACTGCTTTTGGCCAGTTCCTCTGCACATCATTATGGATAGGAACAAATACATATCTTTCTGAAGTACCGGTCAGCAACCAAACTTCGTTTGCCAGTATTTTCTCGAAGTGATGAAGAAGTAACAGAAATACATCTATATCTGTAGTGTTATCCTAGTATCCGCTTCCTTGTGAAAAGCTTCTAAGGAGGAAATCTGTGTCGTCTGACGCTACAGAAAACTTTTCTTTCGTCACTGAAGCTTCCAGCAATCACCAGTACGCCGTCAAATGAGGCGTCTTCAAGGTGATGCGACAATAACTCGTTTCTTTTGTTTTCCTCTAATGAAAGGAAATTCTTCCATATGTGAGGTAATGGAACATTGCGGATATCTATCACACGACGCACAGGAACCAAAATGCTTGCCAAAACAGAAATAATTTAATAATTACACGCTGTGAACAAATTTAAACAGTAGCCATACAGTAGTTACCTACTATGAAAAAAAGGTTTCCACTTTTACGCACTTTGACGTTAGAAAAACTATGGAATCATTGTTTAAACATTTGTTCACTATTATTACCGTACCGTACCTCCGTCAGGCATAACATTATAATCCGTTTTTAGATCGAAAAAATCGGTCGCATGAGTGAAAAGATCAACATTTTCGGAAATTGGCCTCCATCTTGAATTCTGAACTTCCTGTTCAGATTTCGAGATGCCAACATCGATATTCGTGTTCAGCAGGTCCAAATTAGTAAAAAACGCCTATTTGGCCTAATGTTGTCTGAAATGCCCTTAGAACCTGTTAAAACGCTGCTTTTTATAAAAGTGAACCAGTCTATTTGGCCTTTCGCGGTTGTGAGCACCCTAGGATTTAATTCAAGTTCTACCAGCTCTCGGAAGTCTTCGTCATCTGTGAGTTCCTCACAAAAGTCCATTTCTCATTGTTTACAATTTGATGTCTCAATCATCGGAAAGTATCGCAAAAGTTAAAACTGATTGAAAACGTTAAGCGCACATTTATTGCTGATCCGTCCTTTAACCGGCAGATCAAGTTGATATTGGTTTAAAACCTGGATCACATCCCGAAGAAAATTGATCCCAGATCACATTTTTGATCTGAGGATCAAATCGTTCATACAACGCACCCTAAGTATATCCTTTTGGAGAGAAGACATTTAATGTCAATGCAAATTTCCTGATTTCAGGAGAATACTTCCTTGTTGTACTTGTGGTATGTTTAACCGTAGCGCACTACCAGAGTCGTACAGTTCAAGCAGGTGGCGATCCGTACGCGACAGTGAGTTTAAACCCACGTAAAAATAGTATATTCATGGTAAAAAATGGAAATAAAGTTCTCTTAGTTCTACCTGCTTTTTTCTATTAGCGCTACCATACTATATTTGGCGACGAGGAAAATGGTTTCTAGTTTGCAACTTTTTTTCTATATCTATTTATTTAGCAATCATTCATGCATTCTATTAGCTAAAGGGTTAATATCCACTAGGTATACTAACAGATAAATACCATAACAAGATTAACATCCATCGATGCAACCTATGTAACAATTTTTTAAGTCTTTTATTGATCCTTGGTTGCAGTAACTGTTCCAATAAGGGGTTTGTGTGGGTTTCTAGGGCCTCATGATGTTTGGTAGCTCTTTCCTGGATTACTTCGGAACCGTTGGTATATGTATGTAGAATATTACGCGAATACTATTTTTCACTCAACGATAGAATTTAATATATTTATCGTCCTGTAATTCCGAGGCGGTCGCTGTTTAATGTGTATAAGACAAAAAGTTCTGTTCTAAAAGAGCTGGTAACAATTGAAATCATAGGTAAGTAGGGGCAATTAAAAATAGATTTATTTTTGTGAATGTTTTTATATAGGGGATTGTACCTATACTATATTTAAAAGTTTGGGGGTCAGATTGGTGTGAATCTCGCATTCGTCTCAATTTACTCCTTCTATAATTTTATAATTAATGTTACTCATTGATATCAGACTGCCTTTGCCAAATGATTCCAATTTTGCAACATGCGCAACATTTCAGTTTTAGTTTTTGGGAAAAATAGAAGAGAATATAAATTGGGTATTTTTGAAAATGTACCTAGTGATGTGTAGAAAAATATCCATCTTGTGACTGTTCTTATTTTACATAAATAAATGGGTTGTTTTTACAATTCAAATTTCACAAGCGTAGGTCAACTTTTCTATCAATATGACGATCGCAATTTTTAAATAACTGCACGGAAAGAAATTACGCCAATAAAACAGGTTACCTCGAAAGATATTGCATAATCATTTATTAATAACAAAAGTTTAAGAATGCGCAGTCATGCAATTCTATAAATTATTTGCAGAAATACCTTGGTAAAGGGAAGTCATTGAAGTACCTACAATGAAACTGTTCATCGTGTTCGTCTTACTAACAGTCGACTCACTGGTAAATACATTTTCATAAAAATTACTAATTAAGTTTTGCATTTTATTATATAGGCACTCGATATCGTACCTTGCAATCTAGACGAGCCATTAAATCAATGTTACTCTGAGGGACAATATGATTCCAATGAGTTGTTAAAAATATGGGATGCTCGAATTGAAATCCTCGAACCTAGTGAGAAAATACTGCAATTCCTAGACTGCTTCTTGAAGAGATTAGGTGTATATGGTGAAGATGGTGTAGTTAATTTGGTTCAATTTGCAAGTCAACTGCCCTGCTTCCTTAAAAAAGCCTTGGGGAACCAAGTTGATGTTATTCTATTGGGGAAAGCTGTCGCCGATCGTTGTCTCAAACTAATGCCCGTTGACCAAACATCTGTACGTCGTTGCTTTTCCGTTAGAAATTGTGCTGTTAAGTACCTTCAGACACTCCCGACTGGGATTGGTCTCACATTATAATTTGTTTAATCAAAATCAAGTTGTCAACGGATTTATCTCGCATATCTTTTTTACATTTGATTTGAATTAAAAATAAGCCAAAATAGTTTTTCATTGTATTATTATGTTTTTAAACTTGGATAATTCTTTAAATATTAAATAATAATGGACAATTCTGTTAATTTTTTTAGAATTTACCACAAAAAATTGTGTGATGAAGCCAAGTCTTCGTATGTCCAGTGGTTTGAAGAATAAACCGACATGAAGAAATGATAACCTCTACATTTTTCTAAAAACTCATTACATTCAAATCGCTGAAGATTAATTAAGAATTATAATCTCCGTATCTTCCCTCTTGAGTAACAGTGTTTTTAAAAAGGTTAACGTATGTATAAAATAACTGATGTGATTTACAAAGCCAATGGCAAATTTTATATATAAAACTATTCAAAGATGTTAGACTGCACATATGCGCTACCACAATTGCGCAGTTTGACAAACTGTTTAGGTACAACCTGTACCTGTTCCATTAAACTCATACAGTTGTTCATGACACCTTCTGTTAACTTATCGACATCTGTACCTTCACCAAACACTATCTCAATAAAGGCTGGGACATACTTTTTCAAGATGTCGTAGTTCACTTGATTTAACGAATCAGCCATTCCCAGTTTTTTAAACAAACACTGAAAGAAGGATTGAATATCACCATCGTCTTCAGATACATCTCCAGGTACCCAAATTGTATCGGTCTTCGGCCTACTTAAATTATTTTGCGTTACACACAATTCTCTAACTTCATTCACCTCTTTTACTGTGTCTTTGTACTTGTACCCATAGGAACTCTTGTAAGAAAAATTAGAATTATAAGTAGACGTCTTCCATTCTAACTTACCTGTGCGCAGCCTCCCACTAAAAGCAGTAGAATTAAAGCATTTATTTGGTAACAGTTATCGAAGCAAACTGGTTTAATTTTAGAGGTCAGTCTAGTGTGTAACAAGGTGACATGTATGGTCAAAGATTATAAACTCGCCATTTATAGATTTATTTTCACGTAATTCAACGAAAAACTCCTTGGATACAACATTTATATAAACAAGTCTATTACAACCGGGCATAGGTTATTCGTTCAATACGAAATATCGAAGGATCTTCAGTTTACAATCACTTTAAACGACAATTTATTTTAATCTTACATAATACATTTTATAGTTAACAAAAATGCATCAAATTCATGTTTTGGTCATTGAGATAATGCGCTTTAATCTTGTTCCCAACGATTTTGACGACGTTTTGATCAAAATCCATGTAGTCGCCAAAAATAGATCCCATTCATGTTTTGGTCATTGAGATAATGTTCTTGGTCTTTTTCCCAACGAGATTGGTGCATAAATAACGATTTTGACATGTTTGAATCAAAATCCACATGGTCGCCAAAAATAGATCAAATTCATTGTTTTTTTCTTGGTTGGAGTGCCAGAACTATAAGCTACCGAATGCAAAAAGAACAAAATAAATATCTTGAAAACTGTAGGAGTAGTTAGGTCCTTGGACGGACGGACGAAGGAAGTGGCCATAATAGCGCGTTCCAACAGGAGTTGGAAAATGCGATAAAAACTATAGGTACCATGTGATCGAGGGCAGCTAAATTTGGCACTTAAAATTGTTAGCGTTTTTTACTTAAGGCATTGACAAACATGTTTAGAAGGTAGTTTATTCATGCAGCAATCACCATTCATGGGCGGCGTTTTTTATGTGAATTGTTATTTGCTTGTCTACATATTTTGCGCCTATGAGCCCCTCGCAATCGCCCCCCCCCCTCCACCCAATTAAAAGCATTTTATACCCCAAACAAAATTTATTGCTAGCAATATTTTTAGCCCTTTACAAAAAAGTGTTAATACGATTTTCTTTCTCCTAATTTGCTCAGATTAATTTAATTAGTAGTAAGAACATGTTTTATAAAATGTATAAAGTAGTTTGAACTGTTTAATTTTTTTTAATATTTCCACATCATTACCTACATCAGAAGGAGGTGATGGACTATATCTAATTTTACTTTTAAGGGTATATTTACCATATTACAGAAGTGGTTTTCCAAAAATAATAAAAGACATCAAGTTCAAATAATGTACAAGTTTATTTTATAGTTTAAACAATGATATCCAATATACAAACATGTAAATGAGCACTGAATCGTGTTTCAGAGAATTTAACGGCTACGTGACGTTATTAAGCCTCCCAAGTACGGTCATGAAAATGGCTAGAGGGCACCCTAATTAAGCGTTTTCAACAACAAAATTTGCGGAAGAAGCCCTAAATTTTTCACACTATTAATACAAAGTTCACATCATTCGTCGAAATGTGAGGTTATGTTACTCCAGATTTCATGGTCACTTTTAAGTTGGTAAGAGTGCGCGTAACATTCTTCAATTTGTTAAGAGGTTTTATTATTTTTCACGATATTACTTTAGAATTATTTCCGAAATTTGGTTTTTTGCCTCCCCGAAACATTTGCCGCTATGGGCCCAGGCCCATATGGCCCCATGCTAAATCCGGCCATGCATGTAGGTAATTGTACACATTACTTCCATGTCATCATTTCTTGTTAAGTACAGAGATCTCGCTTATTAGCATAGATAGATAGTTGGTTAAGGCCAAAAATGATTCTGGAGTCATGCCTAAAGAAAATCAAGAAACAAAATTTGCTCCCTATCTAAAGTTCCCTAAATATGACAAAAAATAACATAATTGACGTTTTTGATTTTTGGCTTTAAAATCGTTATTTGGGAGTTAAATTCAGCTTTTTTTAAAAGAAATTTTATTGTTAATGGATATTGCTTTTGTTAAATGTCACTAAAAATGTTTTTCTTTTAATTTTGCTCATTTAGACTTTTTTTTGAAATCCCTAAAGGAAGTCTTTAGTTTTTAAAATCTCCCCGAATAACGATTTTAAACCCTAAAATCAAGAACGTCAATTATGTAGGTCATTTCTCGCCGTATTTAGGATTTTATTTAGTCATAACTTGAGGATCATTTTTGCAATTTAACAGTTCTCTATCTATGCTAATAAGCGATATCTCTGTACACGAAATTTGATACAACCTTTAACAACATTTAACGATTTTGAAATACACGAGCGCGTCACTACTTTCACTGCGCGACCTTAGGTTCCAAATAGATAACCTATGCCCTTGAAACGTAAAAAGCGAACCTGGGAATTCGAACAACTTGTCCTCGTCCTGGTCCTGGTTTTGTGACATTCACGAGAAGATCTTATTTTTGCACTTGTTCCATTCGTCTCGGCCAAAAAGATGTGTTATTATTAGATAGTAACCGAAAAAAGAATGTCAAAAGTACTTTCTTCAACAAATATGTTGCTAAATTGTTATCATTAATTATGGTCAATGCGCAGTCTTCTGTCCTCAATCCAATCCTTAACACACCATTTAAAAATCACATTGTAATAAGTACGTTGTACACTTCCAGTTACCATGAAATTTTTATTTGTTTTAATTTTACTGTCAATCGATTCACTGGTAAAGTAATTACTTACGATTAAGCTTTTAAACGTGTATATTTTATAGGCAATCGACAGCAAAAGTCACAACTTGGACGAAGTGCTAAATCAATGTTACTATGAGGGAACGTACAATCATGAGGAGCTTTTGATAATTTGGGATTCACATATTGATAACTTCCAGCCTAGTGAGAAAGTAGCAGAATTTACCGATTGCTTCCTGAAGAAATTAGGCGTATACGGTGAAGATGGTGTTTTAAATTTGGCCGAGTTTGCAAAACAAATCCCATACTTTCTTGAAAAAGTCTTTGGAAATGAAATTGATGTTGTTGATATGGCAAAAGAAGTTTGCGAACGTTGTTTTGAATTAATTCCTAATGATCAGTCGCCTGTTCTTCGTTGCTTTTCTGTTAGGAACTGCGGTATTAAATACATTCATGCAACACTAAGCAATAGTACGAGTACTTAATTTAAGCTCGCGCTCTTAAGTGATTTAAAGTGATATTGTAAATATAATCTAAGCTTCTTTAAGTGAATTCATAGTGCAATATTATGATCTACATATTCCAATAATAAAAAATATAGAAAATTACAGTCTTTAACATTAATACACCTACAGAATTGTGTATTAATTTATTAGTTTAGTGGATAAACCCACAGTTGAAACGATAGATTATCGGAAAAACCATTTCGTCAAAGTAAAAAATAGTGGTATAGACCTACGCACCGCGCAACCCTTAAAATGTCTCCTCAGGGAAACCGGTACTGATTTTATAACGTTAAATATTTATAATTATAATTGAGCTTTCATTTTTACAACGGTGGTCGTGCTTATTATGTTTAAAATTCCTCCATGGATTGCATGAAGTGATCATTATGATCAATGTTTTGATCCCATGTTTGTGATGAACTGATGAACATACATACAAATAGGGCTTATAGAAAAACAGTTACAGTTTAATTCCCATTGTTGCCACTTTATACACTTGACTCTCTTGCCCCCCAAAATGTTATTCAAGTTGGCATTTTGTAAGTAACTGTAAAATTGAATGTGCCGAAAGATGTAACTGCCGCGCCGCCGCCGCCGAGGGAACTTCAATCATAGTGCTACCAAGTGGTACACTATGCTTCCATGTACCGCGATGTATAAAAAATGCAGTGGACGGAGACGGAGATACAAGAATACTACTTTTATAATACCAACCCAACGAACCTGAACCCTCCAGATTAGTCAACGAAACTGTTCGAAATTTCGGTTTTTAAGGTATTAAAATAAACTTTTTAGGCAGAACTACTTTTTTTATACCTTCTACGATGACGATGAATAGTAGCTGTCCCCCAACACGCACATGCTGCACTATACAATTTTGTTTACTTATCCATTAAGTATGTTCATACCCTGGTTTACACACATTTTTAGCTTTATATTTTGTATTTAGTTTGAATAAGGTATCCACCCTGGACTATACAACCTACATTGAGTAATGTGAGCTACTCAAAATTACCAGCTCTTAGATATTAGAAATTAATAAATAGGCATTTATTTTCGTCGTATATCTATAAATTAACATTTTTACATGCACAGGTGAATTATTTATTCATCTATGTCATCCCATCTTGATGGAAAATAGCCGTTCCAACATTACGTATACATGCAAACGGGTTTCCATACAATTCTGGACTTTAATTGCCATTTGTCCGTAATTTTTACTTTTCAGCTGTTTGCATTGTTGTACAAAATAGTTAATTGTTTCGCGGTTAAGGGTTGTTGGAGGTTTTAACAATGTCAGCATTTCGGAATAGTAATTCGCTACATTTTCTTCATTCACAACGGAATCTTTGGTAATTAAGTCCATTCTATACCAGATGCAACCCCAGAACTCGTTTGTGATGGCATGATCTTCGTCGTCAAATATGCCAAACTCCTTAGGCAGTTTCATATCTAACACCTTTAGTCCCAATTGTTTTCCACACTCGAATGATTCTTGGGCAATCTTCTGTTCGATTTCTAAAAATTGTCGTGGTGTATCACGGCGATGTAATGAATGTGAGCGTACCTTAAAAATTAATCTGAATTTTGAAAAACATAGGTACCCAAATGTCGCACTACTTACATTCGCCAAAGAAATTAAACACAGTATAATAGCAATACGTGCCATTTTTGATTTGATCTATAAGTAAACTAACACGCGCAGAAAGTGGCAATCCAATTATTTTATAAGCACAATATTTAATTGATATGTTATCAGCAAGACTATTTCGTCAAGGAAAAATATTTACACAATATTATCTCAGTGTCATCTCCGTTTCGAGCAATTTTGTTCAATAAATGTTCACATTTTTTACTTATTTTTTAAAATTCGACTAATTCCTTAACCGTAGCAACTGTTGCAATGCGCCTGCATCGGCAAAAACGACACAACTTTTTCTTCCTTTTCTTCTACCGTACATATAACACCACGTCTTGACTTTCTACGAGGTTTGAGTGCGAAAGCTTCCACTTATACGGATGATCGGAAGAATGATTCTTGAGATCGTTTATTTTCCTCAGATTCTTTGAACCTGTCTTGAAACGCTCCAGATTCATCAAATTATTCGATTTCCTCTGATCCTTTACGATCTTCCTTTTTTCGCATTTTTTTTTGTTTCTCTACACTTTTGATATCATTTCCATAAGATTCTTTAGAATCTTTTATTCCCTCGCGATTCGTCCCATTCTTAAGTTCCAGTTCCTTAAATTGTACATTTGACGAATTAGATTTTGTGAATTATCCGAGTTATTTAAGTTCTCCGGATGTGTCAGGTTCTCCCACTGAACTATAATTATAATGGAACGCGCGCTCCATCGGCCAGCGCGATCCGAGGGAGAGGGCCACATAGGAGGATCTCTGTCCTATTCTCGCGCATGCGTAGAGCAGCCTATTTGATATGTTTTGACAGTGAGGGAAATCCCCCTTGCACTATCTCTCTCGGCGCGTTACGTTTCTATGGCAGAGGCATTGCGCGTTCCAGTTTAATTATAGTTCAGTGAAGTCTCCACATCTGTCCGTTTCTTCAAATTTTTAGGACCCCTCAGATTCTCTCGCTTGTTCGAATTCTTCCGGTGTTTATATTCCTTAAATTCTTTAGAACTATAACATTTTTCGAATCCCCGAGGACTATCGCATTCTTGCAGTTCTGTTGAACTCCGGTTTACTCCGGAACCTCGGTTTAGTTCAGAGTGTTGTTACAATTTTCTACTTCTATATCGCAATTAAATCTGGGGTAGTTTTTGTTATGTAATTATATTAATATGCCGCGGATGCACGTCGGTTAATAATCCTCTTCTGGCCTCTGAGGGGAAAGGGTGAAAGGGTAAATAATAAGTCAATAATCTTCATTAAAATTTGAGATGGTTCTTATTTGCTTAAAAATATCGCTTTGCTGTAAGAGAACACATAAAGGGCTTCTAATTTTATGGCAAAAATCGCCACAAGGCTAATATGGGTGTGCAATGTGGATAAATGGATGTCTGCCAGTTTTATCAGTTCGCTTTGTTTGCAAGGGGTATGACGAAAATCACATGATGCTACAAAGTCAACTTAATGCTATCCACCGTCTCCTACTAAGAATGACGAGAGCTTATAAAACCACCCAACGATGGCGTTGGAATTTTTCACGCGCATATCCTCGCTGCATATCGAAGCAGGCAGAATATTTGGGTCTTTCACTAAATATCGACAGCTAACATCAGTAAAACAAGTCAAACCCCGCAAGGAGAGGCCTTATGCACTTTACAGAACCACGTCACTCAGCCAGCTCTAACAAACTACTACTCTATGAGGACGGGTCACAACCAATTGGCAGATGCCAGTCGTTGAAGGGTTGCGCTGGTCTACAGAGATATCTCTACGATGGAGAAAGGGGCACCGCTTAGACGAATACAACCAAAGGACGCACCGTGAAATGGTCAAATATCCAATGTGAATCCTTACCGGTTCGTAAACCTCGGAACTTTGTACAAGCGGAGGCAGAGGAAGCGGCGCGAAAAGCAGCGCAGCTGGCCTGCCACAACGGAAAAGCGGCGAGAGGAATGTACTCCATCATCCCGATTCTAATCTGCAAGGACCTAAACTGGCTAAAAGAAACAGTCTGGCTATGTACTCAGGGGACGGCTCTTACGTGCAGTATTATACATTTAATCTGGGACCAACAGAAGGACAATGCCCTGTGGAGAGCCTAGCTCGCCGCTCCACGTATTACAAGCATGCAATCACGGTACCAGACTGCCAGGATCCAGCCGAGAACTTGGCATTGGGGGAAATAGAATCCTGCATATGAAAGTACACTGACCGCCGGTATTACATATGGCGGCTAAATGTTTCGGCTAGCTATCTCTCGGCCGGAAGATAGCTATCGGCTACCTTATAAGGTGTCATACGACATCATACCAAGTCATAGTTAGCTAGCTGAACGATAGCCATGACTGCATTATGTTTTCAGTAACTTTCTAGATGTGTTTTAGCACGTTGGTAGTAAAGCGAACTAAAAACAAATAGTTAGGTACAAACTTCCGCCTTGCGCTGTCATAATTTGATATAAAATTGAGTTATAGATTTGAGTCACGAAAATGAACAAAAGGTCCGCAAATTTCAGTTCTGAAGAGTGCTTCTTACTCGTGGACCTGGTCCGTAAGTACCAAAATGTTGTTGAAAATAAAGTGACGAATTCAAAAAGTTGGCAAGATAAGGTTGGTGCAACTTTTATATATTTGTGAATTAAATAAGTGCATACAAGCACAACATTTTAGAAAAAGGCATGGGATGTAATAGCTACTGATTTCAATTCATGCAGCGGCCCTCCGAGAACCGCTGAGCAATTGCGATCGAAATTCGATAAGTTGAAGAAGGATACTAGGAAAGTTTTTGCTGCTGTTAGGCTTAATACCATAGCCACAGGAGGTGGGCCATTTGAAAATCCAAAAATTGATTTACTTTACGAACAAGTTAAGGAAATAATAAAATTTAGCTGCGATGGCCTCCCCCCTAATTTTGATGGTGATGTAATAAACCATAATAATATTGTCATCGACTCGAATACAAAAAAGGTATGTAATTAATTTTGTAGAAATGACGTTTGTTTGATCTGATTCTAAGAATTTAATATTTGTAGAACGTAGAAGAAGAAACTGTTGCAAACATTGACGATGCATCAATATTGATTGAGGATGCATCAACATTGAATGATTTACCAATAGATATGGAAAACATTCAAATACAAAACGATATAAATATAGTCGGACCGAGTGGCAGCAGAAGAGAACAATTTAAGACTGCAGTCAGGAAACATTCGGGTAAATATAATTTCATTGAAACATCTATTCGCGTTTATCATCTGGGAAGTGTATGTAGAATACTAGCATTAAAGCAATGAAAATGAATGTAATCGTTATATAATCCACTTTTAGGAGCGGTTAAGAGGACAGCCAAACCGCCGTCACAAAACCAGGCAGTTATGCAATCGTGGGCAAAGGCCCGAAGAGAATTGGCAGACCTCCAAAAAGACTTATTAAAAAAGGAATTCCAGGAGCGGGAAAGCAGAGAAAACATTTTATTCGAAAAAGAGAAGCAAATTAAGGATCTACAAATTCAAAAACTAAAATTAGAGATAAAGTATTTAATGTCAACTGATGGTTAAAAACAAAACTAGAATTTTTTAATGTTCAAATGTTCTTGCATAACTTGTTATTGTTGTATTAATCTATTTCTAAAATATTCTAAAAAATCTACATTTATTGCATTAATGTTATTATTAATATTGTTTTCAAGCGGTATATCTCCCTCAACTATACCAGCTTCCACCTGTTCTTCTAAGTCGCCATCCATAGGAGGTTCGTCTTCATTATTATCTACTGCAATGTTGTGTAACACAGCACAAGCAACAATGATCGCTTGTACAGTGGTTATCTGTAGCCTTAGTGTTAATGCCAAAACGGGGAACCTTCTCTTTAAGATTCCGAATACTCTTTCTATTGTATTCCTGGTTCTAATATGCGCATTTTGGTATGCGTGTTCCTCCGGACGGACAGGATTTCTTAAGGGAGTTTTCAAATATCTTGTTGCCCCATACCCACCGTCACCAAGAAGAACCCCATTTCCGAAGTTCCCATTTTCAAACTTTTGTTTAATGTTAGAATTATTAAAAATTGTCTGATCATGACTTGATCCAGGCCAACGTGCTACAATGTCTGTAATTTTTAGATTAGCATTGCAAATGGCTTGGACATTTAAGGAAAACCATCCTTTTCTATTTCTAAAATCTTCACTATTTTCTCCCCCAGGTGATCGCAATTTTACGTGAGTGCAATCTATTGCACCAATAATTCGGGGGAAACCACCTATTTGGAAAAACTGTTGTTGTTGTTCCCTTCGTTCCTCATCAGTAGACGGAAAAGTAACAAAGTCTTCTCGAAGTGCTGCAATTGCTCTCGACACTTTAAAAATAACTCGAGATGCTGTCGCCTTTGCACTCCTGTGAAGTCGCCTACCGTTATAAGCATGTTCCCACATGCATAAAATCTCAACGCTAACAAGAGCTGATTCAGTGATGATAACCCATTGTTCCTAGAAATATATAAAATATTAGACGTATTTTACAATGTAACGTAAATCTTTAGCGTTTTATTCTATTACCTGTTAGTTTGAAATTTAATCTGATCCACCAATTGCTCGTGAAGCGCTGCGACGGTTGGTTTTGTAAGACGAAATCTCATGAAGAATTCGTCGTCGTTATATTCGTCGAACAATGTTATAAGTTGCCTGAATCGTTTTCGCGCTCTCGTCTTTTGCAAAAACCCTTCTAACATTTCATCATCACTATCACTATTTACATTTAAATGTCTCAATAACGCCATTTAGTGGTCGATTCGATTCGAAACGATTAAAAAACGATTAACTGACAGAAATGCGTTCGATGACAACAATTATTCTGATTGAATATTGCCGGCGTCTCATTGGCTACGATCTGTTGGCTCAGAGATAGCAGGCACTTTTGGTGACGGCTAAGCTATCTGACGGCTATCTCGACAACCGCTAGCTAGCTTAATATTGTAATACGCTACTTTTTGTTTAGCTGAGAGTTAGCCGTAGCTCTTACAGCTAACCCTACTTCGTAATACCGGCCGTGAGAGAACTATAAGGAATTGTCAATAATACTAAACAAGCTGTCTCCGCAACTGGTCCTAGAGGAGGAACTGTGAACTGGTCGCTCCACAGGTTACCAATTGCAGAGCTTAATAGAAAATTTCAACTACTGCATCAACATCAGAATTTAATAATTATGGAATACCAAGCCCATAATCCATATAGGTACTCGAAGCACGGGAACTACGTGTGGCTCCTGAACACAGCAACAAATTAAACAGCCAAATAAAATAGTAGTATTAAATGGTAAAAGGTGTCAATAAAACGGTCAGAAATATACCTTATAAAGATTAATCGGTAACAAATACAAGGAGAATTAAGTAAATTACATACCATACATTCCCCGCTAATTATATTGGAAGGTGGAAAGAAAGTACATGGGTTGCCTGAGCTTCCTATAGCGCTTTTTTCATTCATAACCGAAAGCATAGAATACGTAAAGCAGTATTCATGATCCTATTCTATTTACATCTGAAATAAAATTACATCGCGCTTATTACTTTACTTTGATAACGCCCTCTTAGCCTCCTTACGATTAAATAATATACCAACTTGGGTGATAATAAATGAAACTGTCAATTATTTGCAATGCTAAGGCACACATACGTCCGTACGCTCAAGGTTAAATTCATACCTAAATTGAACTTATGCATTATTTCAATTTTCAGTACGGGGAAACCACGTTACAAAAGGAGGTAGGAAGGTTCGTGATAGGAAACTATTCTTATTGATACCGTTTCTCCAGGAGACTGCGATCGAACCATACAATACAGTTCCCGCCCATGGATATACGTAATACCAAAGAGTAAATTATGGTTACTCTTTGGTAATACCTACGTACGGAAGTTATAAGAAATTCTACTACGTATGATGGCTTCAGACATTAATAGCGAATAGAAGGTATATGGAATCAATGTTCAAAGATTGTACGAAATCATCACTGCAGTTATCTGAAAGATTTGTGGGCTGATGCATGCCGTCCGGTCGTACATCCGTCGGTATTCCGCCTGCACATACAACACGATCTTATAAACTACGCTCAATCTAATGATTTTGTTTTTGTTTTGTTTTTTCTGTCACCCCTAACACGCTCGTTGTGGCATTTTGGAAAAGGTAATTCAATCTTCGTTTTCTGGGGGGTATTCCATACCCACCAGACCCCCCGGTGCTACTTTTTCCCACAACAGTGTTCGTCTTTAATGATGCTCCTCTTAGTTTCCGGGAAGGGCACTCGAATCTTCCTTTTCTAAATCATTTTCAACAAGATTGTGGTACTAAGTGCGATTGGCTTTACACACGTATTACCTCAGCAATTGTTCCTAGCGCAGGAGGACTGGCTACTTTTTTCCCTGGAGAAAAGGTAACTGAACCTTCGTATACTTGACGGTATTATATCACCCCCACTCCCCGGTGCTACTTTCTCCCCTTAAAGATGCTTGTGATAGTTTTCGGAAAGGACATTAAAACCTTCCTTTTCTACGAAATGTTCCATTTTCCACAAGATCAATTCGTTTGTCTTTTCTCCATTAAACGTTTGTAGAAGAACGTAGTACCGGGGGATTTGGGGGGTAATCAGCAATACTCCCCAGCCAAAGAGTACTGGTTAACAACTAATACCTATATAAATCTGTATAGCGCTTAAAACATGTTCTACAATCTACAACCTTCTCCATAGGTGCATGAAGGGGAGGAGTTCAAGACATTTTCATGAAACAAAGGCTCACGATTGGCATCTAACTATTCACGCACCTCCAACAGGGTACGTTGTGTAAGGGTTTAAACAGATGTCGTACTTCCAATTGAATCCGAATCGCAGCAGAATAAAAAGGCGATAGATTCAGCTTCAATTAAAAATTATGTTCTTTCGAAAGCGAAAGGAGCCCAAGATTTATGCACAATTAACGCAAAACGGAACATTTGGCGATGGGATCTCAACCTAATCCAACTGCCTCATAACCAGGTGTGTAAAGGATAAAAAACTACATGAACTACACACAAACTACAAAAATGTTCGAAATTGAAACAAATTTAATTTAATTAAACATGCTCGACTGAAATACTTTTTCGAAGAATGCGAATAGAGCAATACGTTCTGTTATGCAGTTTTGTACTTTAATGGCGGTTGCTCCATGATTGCTACCCCTGAAGTTTTTGCACCTTTCTACAATAAATTTCATTGATTGTTTGTCAATTAGCGAATCGTGAACGGCCGCTTTCATAGTGTCGATGAAGTGGTTTTCTATATTCTCTTGGTTCAAAACGGAATCTTCGTCGATCAGCTGCAACCTTTTCCATATACAACCCCACACCTTTTCTGTCGCTGGATTAGTTTCTTTTAATATACCGTAATGGTTTGGTACCTTCATGCCCATCACCTCCAATGCCAGTTCCTTCCCGCATTCGAATGATTCTTGGGCCATTTTTACTTGAACCGGTGCAAAGGTATTTTCCACTTGGCGCTTGTCGATTCGGTAGGGATTTACCTGAAAAAGGCATTTTATAGCTATAAGGTAAAACACTCGCTTTGTCAATAGTTTAAAAAACGAGACCAAAGAGCCAGGCAGTTTGAACTTCAGAACGGAAGAAATCGCGATCTTTGTAACTACTAACCTGTGTGAGCGCACTATTAACAATAGTGTTGTTTAAATTCGAAACATCTATTCCATTCATTCTCTTCCATAGTCTCTTTCACGTTCTATGTAAAATTAGCCTAATAAGTGTCAATAGTTATATTTTATGTAAACCATAGATTTTATTGACGACAATCCTGAAAATAATTTTGGCAATGGATTCCCATGCAATAATGCGTTTAGCTCGTTTTTGGACACGCTGAATGTTAAGTTATTGACGTAGATAAACTGAATAATTACGGTCATGGACAAACATGCGCATTATAAATGGAATTTCACAACAAATATTTTTCACATAACAGAAACGTTTAATTTCCGTACGTGCAATCGGTTAGTATTTACAACAGGAACCCCACAATTGGCAATGAATTAGCTAAGTACTGCAAGTAATAAACAAAATAACGTTAAGTAATACTGAAACCACTTTTAGTAATTGTTGATAATAATAGGTATACCCGTATACTTACATTAATCGTTATGCTGCATAACAAGATTATAGTAGCGACAGTATTCATCTTTCTTGGTGAAAGAATATTTGCGAACTAATGCGCAAATGGAAATTTTGTGATATATATCATAAGATTTGATGGAAATTCCCAAATAGGTTTTCCCACAAATGACTTTAACAGATTCAACTTGGATTAGAATAGATGCGAAGCAAATTATAACGCACCCACACATTGTAACCAGACTTCCGTATGCCCTGTACAGAAGTTTTTAATACATAAGCTAAATATAGAATGTATGTTTTAGCGTTGCAAGGAAAGTAACTATTTCATTTATTGATAACCCAAGTTAGTATACCTATTATTTAACCGTAAGAAAGCAAAAAAGGAATTAGAAATACAACAATCGCGGATAATAGTAGATTATTTTATGTGGAGGAAAAGTATTACTTTCCATGGCGAGCCTGTGTTTAACCGTTCGGCGGCTAATAGAAGGCAAGCCATGAAAAGTAACTTCTCCTCCAAATAAAATATGCTATTTTTTCTTCAAACTTCCGCAAATTTATCCAAAACACAAGGTTTTTAAGCTTACTTAAATTAAACACCATTGTCAAGCAGAGTTGGACTGGGTCACTGGGTCAACTGGGTCACCTGGGTCACTGAATTAAACTGGGTCGCTGGGTCACGTCATATTCTCTTCAGTTAGACCCAGTGACCCAGTTTGACCCAGTGACCCAGTTTGACCCAGTGACCCAGTTTGACCCAGTGACCCGGTTTGACCCAGTGACCCGGTTTGACCCAGTGGCCCAGTTTGACCCAGCGACCCAATTTGGTCCAGTAATTCTTAATGATTTTTGATAGTGAACTAATGATAATTATATAAATCCACCATTACCTACATGTCAGTTCGTAATTTTGAAAAAGAAAGATTTCTCGATAAGAAAGAAGTAAGTTAATTAAATCACTAAAAAGATACTTAGTGTAAATTAGTTCGTTTTAGAATGCAATGCACGCCGCCCGAAATTACCGTCGAGGCGAATGAAGCAGTATCGTGCCTCGGACCATCGAAATCCGGTGAAAAGTATATATTTAGCTGCATATCAACACTTTATTCAATGGTGTAATGTAAAGAACGACAATGTGGTTATTCCATGATCAAATCCGAATTAATTATTAAGCATGGAATAAATGTCAATATATTTAAAGTTGCGATGCTTTTTTGAAAAAGACAAATGAAGGGCATTCTGCAAAAAAGTCCAGAATATTTACTAAAGAGCAGTTTCAAGGTTTTCTAATGGATGCACCAGATGATGTATATTTAGGAATAAAGGTGAATTTAAATCAGTTTTAATTTTGTGCCCTCCCAATATAATATTATGATTCAGATTGTTTTATTAATCGAAGCAACCAGGCCATACAGATGCGACGAAATGATGAAAATGAATATAGGCGTTTGAAGAAAATAAGTCTATTGTTTACCAAGGATGAGAAGTAAGTTTTCGCTGAAAAGTCGGAAGGTTTACGTACCGAGTACGGAAATTCCGACGTGTCAGCGGATCTCACTCCTCCGTGGTAAACATTAAATTGTTGTTTATTATTATGCTGGAATTTCTCGTATATAAACGGCTAAACACAGGTGAAATTTTGAAGTTGTCCAGTGATAACACCTCCAGTGCTTTAGTGCGACGTCCCACGTGACAGATAGGAACTGCGGGTCGTTGCCGGATATGATGGCTGGAGGGAACCCGTATCATCCGAAAACTTCTCGCTCCGGTAAATTTACCAGTGTGTCAGTGGTGGTGAAACGTCGAGCGAAAGCTTCCACCCACATACTGTAGAGATCCGATACTACCAGGATGAATTGGTTCCCCATTGTGGATTCGACGTTAGGGCCCATAAAATCGACCGATTTTACTTCCCAAGGTTTGCTTGGCTCTCGGCGGACGGTGGCTTCCTGTATCCCCCAGCGTTTTGTTGCTGTGCAAGCCTAGCATCATCGCACGTAATCCCGCATGTGGTTGCCTATCTTCGGCCAGTGATTTTGAGTGAGGATGGCGCGGTTTGTTTCCTCGGCGTCCGGGTGTCCCGCTGTCGCTGCGTCGCGTCGTGGGAAGTTTCCATGACGTCCTCGTACATTTCCTGTGGCACGACCAGAAGTGCGCCTTCGGGGCTTCGTCGATGAAGATGGTTGTTGCGTACAACGTACTGTTGTTGTAATCGTACCTGTGCGGGAGTTGCAGGACCTTCCTGACAAAATCGCTATCACGCGTTCTGCAGCTGTTGGATCTGTGGGTTTTCGTTCTGGATTTCCTTCATGCGATCGGAACGGTACGGTGATGATGGACTGATCTCTCTATCAGTCGTCTTGGTTGTCGCTGACGTCGGTGCTACTATTCTATCTGTATCTTCTGGCGTATATTCTTCGGACACGGTGTCGGAGGCATTGCGAGAAAGGTGGTCGGGCAGCTCTTTCATTTCTCCCGGAGACTGTACCACTCCTGTAGTTTGAGTACCCATCGAGTCAATTTACTGCGCTCGTCCTTCGTTCTGTAAAGTCATAGAAGTGCTACACTGTTTGTTTTCAGGCGGTCGTACAGGTACGGTCGGAAAAATTTGACCGCTCAGACTACGGCGAGGCACTCTTGCTTGTTGACGTGGTATTGGCTTGGTGCAGGGTTCAGCTTTGCACGGGCATATTCAACGATGTCTTTCTGTCCAGGGGTGGGTTCTTGATATAGGATACCGGCGACACCCTTACTGCTGGAGTCGGTCTGTAGTATGAACAGTTGTTCAAAGTTAGGACGGCTTAGCTGGAGAGTGATAGCGTGTACATAGGAAGCCACGAAGCTATTTCCGAGATTTAGACTTTTCTGCCACCCGGATTACCTTTACGTGGGCGGTTGAGATTTGTTCCCGTCAGAATAAATGACATGCCCGAGATATTAGATGGTCCGTATCCCCAAACAGCAATTTTTCCAGAGTTGCCCGAAGTCGGTGTTGCTGCAGTTTCCATATTGTTAGGCGCAGATGGCGGATGTGGTCCCCCAAATTTTCGTAATAGATAACGATATCGTATAGGTCTTTTGTCATTAATTTTTGGAAGGTAGCTGGGTCATTTTTTCCGTCTTTCTTTGTCACCACGGCGATAGGCAAACTGTATTCTGATGTGCTCGTCTCGATGATTCATGTCGCCAACATTGTTTCGGCTTCCTCGGTTATTATTCTTTTTCTTTGGCGAGTAATGGTACGGATCGACTCGGAATGGGATGACCCGGCATTATGGCTCAATGGTAGAGCGTTGTCGGGTCGGGTGTTCGAACCTGGGTTGAGGTGAATTTTTCATCTGCGGCAGAGATGGAAATTACCTTAGACCAGTTTCGAGCATTCTGCCGGCTACTCCGAATTAGGTCTTCCTGCAGGTCTTCCTGCAGTTTTCCTAATTCGTAAGGTAAATACCGGAGTAGTATAGAACAACTTAAGACCTTCTGCAGAGGCACTTCTAAAAAGCATTATGCGGGTCACTCTGTAATTGGGCGCAAGCCTGTTGAGAGCCGAGAACAAGAGAGGGATAATAAATAAATAAATAAATAAATACATAAATAAATAAATAATCTAGTCGTACCAGGTGTGTGATATTCATTCGATTTCGAATTTTCAAATTATTCACATCTTTCGAATACTTCCAATTATTTAGATCTTCAAATTTTTCAATCCATGGGTGTTTGCGTAGTAAAAGGACCTGCACTTACCCCAATTCCCAAAAAACCAGTATTTATTGGCACCAACTTTGCTGCTCTAGCGCGCGCGCTGCACTGCACTATTTCGGCACTGCCCCTCTCCTGGTGCAGGATTGGGATAGGATACCAGTATGGATGGATTCATAAATTAAATTTTATTTCAAAAAAGGACATGATTCCGGACTTAACAATGGGGTTCTCCGATTCTTGCGGTTTTCACGTTCTCGAATTCTTCCTTTCCTTTCCTCTTTGTTTTCTTGTTTTTGAGTTATACTGCGTATGTTTCAAAATCTTCAATTCTTCTTCGTTGCTTGAATTCTTCCGGAGACATCTGATTCTCTAGTTTCTTCAACGCCTAGAGTGGAACAAGGTGAAGCGCAGGAAAAGCGGGTTGCGAATGGTTCACCGGAATCAACACCGCTACGATCACGCTAAGCCAACTGCCCCAACACAGTGACATGATGATGGAGCGATCCAGAGACAACTTTAAGCGAACATGGCACGGTAACTGGCTCTCCTTCCTCTTATTTTACTGGCAATGACACGCTTCATTTACCTCATCCCCAATATACACACGTAATGCAGCATAAATATTTATTTACTTAATTTACATCTGAGATAGAATTGCATTTCTAAATCATGAGTATTACTTTATTTATATCCTTAATTGCCGTTTAGTCTTATGCCGGTCAAATAAATAAATGATAAACTTCCTTTCAATGCCAAAACACACATTGGGCACACACAGGGTTATCGTTGGGTATTTATATTTAGTTAGACTATGCATTTTTTACTAAACTGAACAATTTTCTGTATATGGAGACCTGTTATCCATTCTTCGGATTTTTCCATTCGTTTGACTTTTTGCCGTGCCGTTGGGATTCCTCAGAATACAGACGTGGATGATGTGCAGTCTTCAATTTCGATATCTTCAACAAATTATTTTTAACTGAAACCAGGCACGCGAAAAAATCAAAGAATTTATTATCTGAGGCGTCTTTTGTTAGTGTTGATATAATTCACATTTGAATTGTTCCACCCTGTCCATTAATACTTACGTCACTTCCGTCAGGTTGTTGTACTCGTTGTCGTCGTGCGCACATTATATGTTCAATCTAATGTTTAATAAATACGTTTTATTTAATTGCCTTTAATAACTAAGGTAGGCCTTCCCCACTGCCAACAAAGGTTATGGGCC